AGACATTTAAGGTTACATGTTGTCCTTCCAAACGAACCAGTACTCACACAACAAATCAACGATAGACTTCTTATGATGAGTCCCTCTATGTGTGCATAACAATGCAATTGTTCGTATGGAGCTAGTTTCATAGTCCATACTCAGAGCAATTTATCTTTGCTTGCTTGTGAACATGTATCAACATGATTAGGAAAAGGAATAACATAAACGAGTAACGGTGCCACCCCTTCTCGCTTGGTAAGCAGAGAACATCATATAAATATAGATGAAGCTATCAGTTTTATATCAAGTTCTGAACAATCTACCGAGAGGAGATAGGTAACATCTATTCTGTAAAGCTTAGGCCATCTGGATCGACACCAGAATAACTAACTTATGTATTCGAAAGAGATATATTCAGCTGCCATTGTGTTCACCTTGGTCCACGACAGGATCATTAGAAACTTAAACTAGATATCACAAACCTCTTTACCCTCCTCCTATTTCAGTTTGTGTTTAAATCTTTATTAATGCTCAGATTCATCGTTCCCAATTCACATGAACTTTTATTTTGTACTTTTATCATAATTACTTAGGCCACACTGCTCATATTACATATATTAGTCACGTTATTATTATTATTATCATCATTTTTATTTTTATCTGCACTGCCAACACGAAATTCCTCCTAATGTAGATTTTATTCACACGATTTATTGTGTACAACTTGACGCATTTCTCTTGAAACAATTTGAACTTTCTTTATCAAATGACCTTTCCAATTTACAAACAACACAGTCTTGAAGTATTATACCATGGCAGTTGCAAACTTTCTTCGTTTTTAACATATAACATTGTCTAATTCACCGATTTATTATAAATAAGAAGAATGAGCATAATTTTATGGTCATTTCAAGTTACTGAATAGGACTGACAAATAACTGTTGTACTTATTGTGAATAAAGCGAATACATGTCACGTTGTACTTACCTGCAGGTTGCCAATTCATGTAAGACCGTAATCCGTTCGATTTTCCTGATAGGAGTTCAACTCCTGAAGAGTCAGACAATGATAATGTTTTATCTAGGAGCATGTCTATGAAAAAATTAAACGAGAATGGGGAAAGTGCATATCCCTGAAAGATACCACTTGAGTTAGCTAATCCCGATTACAGTTCGCCATAAACTGTATTATTTGAGTAGGGGAATTGTATAAGGTTGATTTACTTCTTTTAATAACAGGGACTACCACAGAACCTCACGATCAACAGAGTCAAATACCGCCCTAAAGTCTAGGAAGACATCGATTGTCTGACATCTAAATGTGTCTGTGTTCCAAGACCTGTCGTAGTGTAGAAATGTGGTCTATACATCGTCATCACTGTCTGAAACCAGCCTAGTTTCCTCTAGAGTGCTCTTCACGAGCTCTACTTAGGTGTCTAGGGATAATGAAGGCTATCAATTTAGAATCTATATTAGTTAGACTGATTCCTCTGTGATTTTCACAAGAGGACTTCTCTCCTTTCTTATAAATTGGGACAATCGGCGATTGCGACCAGTTCCCAAATTCTACCTGAGATGTCACTCAATCTGACTGCTGAATCTGGACCACCATCCTTAAAAATCTCAGGATTCAATCTATTGTGTCCCTCTGATCTCCCTCGTTTCAGAATTCTTATCACTTTCTCAACTTCATAAAGAGTCAGGGGACTTACGTCAATAAGTCATTGAGGACAACTGGGGATCGTGGGCGACCGAAGTGTGGCTGAAGGCCAATTGAACTGATCCCTGAAGTGTTCTGCCCATCGATCCAATCTCCTGGATTGAGAATGAATAATAAAACCATCCTTTTCCGAAATAGTCTCACTCACATTCGGGTTCCTAATACCTGTTTCCTTAATGAGACTTAATAGTTGCCTTTTCCATCTCCGTTGCTTTCGCTACCCACCACTGGTGTCGATCATTGCGAAGGATCTTTACCACCCTTCGCTCCTCATCGTACTCATAGCCAGGCGGGATGAGCTTTCTAGCGTCTATCAGTTCGGTAGATGCTACTGAGTTCCAGGGCTTCTCTCTAAACTTATGGTTTACTTTACTAGAAGATATCACTGCTGTTTCCACAACTTTTTTGATATGATTACGAGCTGCCTCAGGTTGCGCCTCACTTGCTTTGTGGCCGTCTAACTGTCTTTCTACTTGTTCCTGAAATATATTCTTAGCTTTATTGTCATTAATTAGAGCCCTAACAGGTTTCTTCGCGATATGTTTCCTACGTCCAGTGAGACGCAAACAAATATGTACTCGCACTAGAGCATGGTGTGAGTCTAAACAAGTGCTCCAGAATGAGAGGCAGTCTTCAACAGAGCCTCTCCACCGATGGCTTATAGCGATGTGATTTGGTTGAGTCCATCATTGGGTTGGCTTTGGAGGTCGCCATGTCAAAAGGCGTCTTACCGTATGCATTAAGTTAGTGTTTGCTAGGAATAGGTGGTTATCTGAGCATAGTCGCAGCCGCAAAACCATAAGATCCTTCCGCGTGTCTTTCCTTTTCGCTGAGTCTACCTACTGGAGCCTTAAAGCCACCAACCACTATTACTATATCAGAGTGCTTAACATTTTGGAGAGGTTAAGAGGGGTTTCTATGAAACTTATCTTTCATGTCGTCCGAACTGCAGTCAGTAGGTGCGTAGGCAGATACAAAGAAGAGGCAACGGTGAGTGTCCCTATCTTTCCGAGTCCATACCGACCTGCTGGGTCGGATAGCGCATAAGCAACTGTCTACCGGGATCCAGTCTATGAGAGCTAGTTCTGCTCTAGGACCTAATACTAGACCTAAGCCGGTGAGGCCACGAGGAGCAGCATCAGGGCTTCCAGAAACAAGAAGCGTAAACCGTGTTATGCCTCAACCTGCACTAGGTGAAATCAAATTGATGATTTTCCTAGGATCCTCCTGTATGCGCGTTTCGGAGACGCAACATACAGCGATCGCCCTAGATTCCAGATTTCTGGTTAATGAAGCCTGTTTCCCTATTTGGCACAGGGTTGCAACAATAAAAGCTCCAATATGTAATTTAGAACCGGGTTTCGAGAGACCAGGAATAATGTTTCTTGAACTCATTCATTACCTTTGCTTTAGTGGCGCGAGGTGATAAGCGATCGAAAGAAGGATTGGTCGAGGAGATAAGACAGTTATTAGGAGGTGTAGAAAGGGTTTGCTTGTGACCGATTTGGTCTCGTGTGCTTTTATGGATATGAAGGCGGATGTTACATCCAGGCTGCCCACATCGTGGAAGCATTTCGTTCGATAGAGAAGGCATCGGACTCGTGAACTTCGAAGCAAATCGGCTTTCATCATCAGACGTCATAACTCTTTTTTAACTGAAGAACTCCTAACGCCCTGGCTAGAGTTTTTGGTTGAATTACTTTTCTTTTTAGCGTTTCTCTGCAAGCCCCTTTATAAGGGCTTGGGACTAGCAGTGGCCCTGAAGAGACTATAGGCTGAGCAAGGTTAACCATAGGCAAAATACAAGGTTGAACAGAAGACTGAGTTCATTTTAATAACATTTGCAAAAAGAATACAATACAGCAAAAATGACATCCTTGTGAAATGGTCGCAACATCAGTGCAATACTGTGAAAATAGATAGCTTCAGACTCTCTCCTCCAAGCTTTCTGTTGATAGTTTTAAAATGGAGTTTCAGGTCTACTCGATAAATACTTCACCAATTTCGGTGAACTCGCTAACAAATGTTCTCGATGTTTATGTATCTCAGGATATTTTCCAGTCAAAAATTCTTTATCCAAATCAGTCAGATGGTCAATCGCAGCAATCAGAACCAAATCAGCTAGAGTCACTTTATCTCCAACAGCCAGCTTCCCTTTAGATTCTTTTAGAGATTCGCAGATTAACTAAATGTATCGAAGAAAAGATTGCACAGTTTAGTTGACTGATGAAAATAATCACTCTAACTTAAATTGACACTGAATAAAAACATTGAGTGCTAACCTCCGCTAACATGCTACAGAAATACAGAAACAAATAACCCACCACGGAGGTGTTCAACGTTTACTAATTCTTACTGACAGTCAACTTCTTCTGTGTCCCAATTTAATATCTGATTGTTTGGTCAACATACCATAAGTGCATGACTTTCCAATTCCTCAGATTTGTGTGACTCACATCACTAAACTCATCAAAATACGGTGAAATGATCTGTAATTCATTCTGATAGACACGCATTTCATTATGACAAATGTATGTCGTAGAATCACTAAACACATCGACATCACTCACTGACATACTACACTAAAGATGTGGATATGCTTTCCAGATCACCAAAGGTAGATACTAAACACAAAACGACCAGATTCTCAAGTTAACTTACATTCAGTAAGACTGGAACTTTACCGTTCAGTACCTCTTTGGTGAACTTCTCTTTTTCTTCTTGTGGCTTCATGAAAATCTTGTAAAATTCACCTTCTAAATCCTCAGCCTGTACATTGTGGGAAAAATCAAAAATCAATGATGACAATAAGAGTGAGAATATGTGAAGAGAAACTATTTAAAACCATTTATAACTGACATTTGTACACAATAAGTGTCGAATAATTTAAACACGTTTTATGAGGTCCGTAAATAACTTCCCAGTTAATCCATGTACACATTCTGTTCTTCCTATTCAACACATTATCATAACGATGAATAAAATGTAACACGAGAAAGTAATTTTGAAAGTGTGGCCACATACCTAATCATCAGTTAGCTATGTTATGTGATACCGTTGAATAGTAATACATCTTTAATGTTACAATGGGTAGAAAAATCAAATTTCTGACATTGTGGCTCAGTTCCAGCTAGTTCTTCTGAAGGATTAGGATACTACAAATTTATAATTTTTATAATTCACAAGACACTAGTACCACTCGCCTATCAATTCAAACAATTTATTAAACCCACTAAACTGAACTCAAAGTATTGTCCAACTGAACAAACTTTTACGGGTCAGTATAAGTCTTAACTCACTTGACCAATCAATTTCTCAACACTATAATATTCATCGTCTGTTTCACCCATCATGTGATGCTTCTTTGCCATATAGCGTGCAATAGCCAAACTCTCTTGCATACACTTTACGTGCCCAGCATTATCGGTGATCTTCACTACAGGCAATTTTCCTCCAGGAATGGTTGGTTTCAGTTTCGGCCAATCTTGGAAACTGATTCTTTCATCTTCGAAGTCTACACCGGCTGCCACAAGAGTCATCCGAATCGATTCAGCACGTCCACGTCCGTTAAAATATATAACCTGCAAAAATAGAAATATACGGCGGTCATCTTAGATAAATCATAAGGTAATAATCCATGCTTTTAGGCATGAACCAGAACAATCCGCTCTAAATTACTCTAGGCCTCTCTTTGACCCCTCCACCCATAGAGAATACGTAATGGTAAAACAAATAAGCATAGACAAATCCTCCCGATACTTCCATATGCAAACTGTAATATTTTTCAAAGTATTACACTTAACTTAAATAACTATAATGGGTGATCACTGTGTAACCATAGTGGTTATGCATCACATTTAAGCCTAATCTGGACACGTAATTTCTTGACTTGACTAGGTGAAAAGTTACTGTCATGACTAATGTACGCATTTAGTGTGTGCAGTGTCACAAACACAGACTCAATACACACTCTTATATTCGAATGGCATTATTCATCCAAGTTTGCCTTCAAAATATTGTTGTTGCAATCCATAATGTTGGTCTCGAAAGTTCACCAACATAGGTGATATAGAAATCTCATTACACTTACTTTAATGTGTTCACCAGCCATTATAGCACAAGGAGAGTTGATTACAGACAAATAAGCCAGTGACTTATATATCCTCAGAGTCGACAGATCTGACCAATAGTGCGACGGTCACAGATTTCAAACTATCTCATTCGCATTATGAATATATGATTTGTATTCGCTTATACACAACATTGAGTGCCACATTAGCTGTGACAGACTAGCCAATAGAAATTAACTAGAGAAATTGGACTCAATTTATTGGATATATTAGCCAGTAGTTATAACGAAGCCTAATTTAATTGAAGGTCATGAAAAGTGTAAAAAATGACAAAATTTATTTACGATACCAGTCCATGTTAAACATGTCCACAGGTCTTGATGTCTATCTTTGATTCTAGGAATAATGTGATGTTTAGTTTCCACATATCCTTTGTCTAAGGACTCTTATATTGTATTATACTGCATCTCAAAAGACACAGTCTATGAACTATCACAAGGAGTAACAGTAGGCTAGTTATCTAAATTAATAATTTCTTCTCTCCAGAATACAATATTCTTATTAGTAAAAAACGTAAGGTTAGCTGCTTGAAGCAGTGTGAATCGGTATTGTATAAATTCCGTTCCAATTAGTTCATTTTGTAACTGACATAAATGAATTCATGAGTGATGGATATAGAGTAGTTGATGTCACGTAACTCTCCAGTTAAACATGTTCATATATTATCAGTCGTATTAATTTCAACTCGAAAACCAATCCATCAATAAGTAACCCAATTATCGGTAGACTCACATTTAATCGTTGTGTTTAGTAATTCATTTTCTTCTTTACATTGAATGAATCATCTGACTCGTAAGGACCATAGTGTTGTTTAATGAGAATAAAAAGAAAATGTGTGCAGTCTCACAAACGTACTGACTTTCATTTACAATGTGAGGCTCTGTTGACAAAAAAAGTAAATGTTATGTGGATGGGATTGGAATCTAGAATTCACTCTTCGGTTCATTCGAGCCGTGTCATATGAATATTTGTGTAACCCTGGATGATGTGCTAATCAAGACTGATCAAAACTCAGGCAAATCATTAATCAAATCATCAAAATGATTGCAGATTAAATCCGCATTCATTCAAGTTAGTTTCTTGAATGCTTTTATTGGGATTTCTCACGCTTTTCTCGATGATCTACCAGGTTACAATAATCCTACTGACTTACTTTTATGTGTTCACCAGTCATCCTATCGGGTAGAAGTGATTACAAGTTATTCTAACAGTTACTATTAAATTCCCAACTGGTGAATGGATCTAGCCAATAGTATGTTGGTCACAGTTCTTAAACTTTTTCTTTCCTAAACATCCATTTAGTGTCTGTCCCATTGACTGTAAATGAATGGCCAATAAACATTTACCATACAAGTTGAACTTATTTTATTAGACATGTAAACCAGTCATAACGAAGGTTCTTTGAATTTATTTTTGTTTCGTTTGTTGATTTTATTGATTGAATTTGCTAGCATATGACCTCGACTAAGGTCACTATGTTGGATAGCATTTTCATAATAGAGACCACTGGGAAAATAATAACAACTTACCAACCAGTGTTATACGATTTCACTATCATTCAAGTCGAAAACATTGGTTAAGCGAAGCGATCTCTTTTCAGCGAATTCATTTTCAGTTCTCTTGTTATCAAAATAATTAGTAGTTTTGTTAAAAATAGTAGTTATAACTAGTCTTAAAATAATTTGTTTTTGTTTTCTATGTTTATTAAGTAATTCTAGAAATAGTTGATTAAGAAATATCAACATAATGATTACGTTTCATGAGACTGCGATTCAAAAAAATAACTGCACTAAACATATTCGTATAAATGTTCGTATCTGTGGTTCAAGCCTAAATGATATTCTAAAAGATCGAGAAATGCAATCAGTCATACACATCGCAAATCTTGGTACATGTGTTCATCAGTTCAAGTTCATATTATTAATTAAATTCAACAACTCTGTACTGACAATTATCATGTGCTCGTAAAGTTGTAGTGATAAGCCATGACCATTGGATTTCAACCGCGTCATGTGTGATGCACTTACTGAAGACAATGGGTGAAGTTGCTCAATGTTTTGGATCGACTGAAGTTAAGCATCAATACTGTTGGTTGCGGATCGAGTGGTCGATGGCTTACGCGAGTCCGATGGTGTTGGATGAGGATGCATGGGGCGATCAAAGTTTTTTGAAGACTAGAATATTTTTGAAAAAAAGGCAGCCAATAATCCGCTTGTTTTGCAAATGGAAATCTGAAGATAAGGTGTACACGTTTCGCTAGTAAACTGTGCCTTCTCTAAACATACTGTTATTCCATCTAATCTTGAAATCCTCGTCCGTTATATTTGGTTCGATCCTCGATTTCGAAGATGTGGATATACCCTGTCGGTGTGCCTCACATTAGGACGAAACAGCTGGACAGTGCTACTTGGCTTTTGATGTTGTTCTACCGTTAGTCGGTTCATGATTTTAATGAAACTCAGCAACCGTCATAGCTCCATGCTAATATTTATAAGATGATTTAGAAATTTAGGATCTAAAGAAGACGAAGAGTGGATATAATTAAATTATGACAAACGATTCATGGCCATTTCATTGTTTATGGAAATGACGCTGACCACAACTACTTAGTTATTTTGTCAATCTTTGCAACAAACAAGCTTTTGTCATATATTTATTCTAAATCACCGTTGAAGCACGTCGGTCTACGCCAGTTAACTGAGAGATTGATCGCTACGCAATAGAATAATGCAGTTTGCGTAAGGGCCGAAAAGTCTGGTGGTCAGAGTATGCTAACCAGTTGAAAGTAGCAGCTGTATCTGGTAACTGCCGGAACCTCTTTCAACTCATCACAATCACTAACTTCAACAAGTCTGGTGTGAGTGAGGCAGTCTGTGAAGCTGATGAGACGCCAGTCAGTTAACATCCACTGACACCTTGGACTATGGACAGAGTTCTTCGAGGAACAGTTCAGCTGATCTGCAGAGCCGGCGACATTAGTCAGAATTATCCTCCATGACCAGTCATGACTGGTTCACCTATTGAGCCGGAAGTTCGCGAGGAACCTCAGCTTGTGCCTTTGTTGAAACCAGTGAGCCGTAAGCAAACGCAAGCATTCTTAAAGAAGAAAATCACCGTTGTATATTCGACTACCTGAGACACTGTATTCCACCGTGATTTAAACTACCTACTTCGGCGTTTAAATACCCTCCTACAATTTCGATGTTTGAGCGTTCAGGTCTCTTGTAGGAGATTCGAAATCTTACCGTAAAACACATCATTTACTTCAGCCAAACGACAGTCAGTGTGGGCGTAGACAGAGATGACAAACAGTTTTTGTCTTTATCTTCTAACTCCTTCAGATAGTTGGACAGTACACAAACGACTATCTGTTGCAATTCATTCTAGAAGAGCCTGTTTTGCATTTGAACGCGGCGTATATCTCATTGGCTCTCCTTATGAGCTAGGTGTGGTCAAGTGAATTACCACACTTAGATCCTGTATGTCCACTTTGGAAACATAGCACACATCAGTGGCACAGGATTATGGAGTCCTAGCTAGTGAAACCTGTTCTATTCGACGGACGGATAAAATAATGAAATCACTAATATGTAGTTTAGAGTGTGATTTCAGGAGGTCATGAATAACATATCATGAACTCAAATGATGGCCATTCGTGAAGATTGGAGATCAAAATAAAGTCATATGAGAGCTGTCAGTAGTGAGGATAGAAGGAATCTGGAGAAGTGTAGGAATTCGATCATGAAGAACACCATCTACCAAAATGTTAGTGGACTGAAAGCAGTTGTCACTTCTCAGTTGTTCACACTATATATGGATATTTATTTTTGAATAATCTAAAATGAAACTCGATTACCAGCGATCTTTGCGATTTATAAATGCAACAGCGGAGCCCAAATGACAGCTGTTTAATAGAGGTCACACATAGCTTTTGTGCGAAATTCTCGGTGTTTGCTACGTGTTTCAGAAGGCTTCGCCATCAACGAGGCATTAATGAAACCGAGAAATAAGAATATGAAGTGATGCAAAAAATGAAGGCATAACCATACGAATACAATTTTTTTTCCATCAATTGTAACTGTCTTGCAAAGCTCAGAATGAACTCAGCACCTCCTAATACAACTCAGTTCAACATTCACTGACTTCATACGCCTATGTCATATTCTCCTCATACAGTCCATTTTTATCCACCAGTAGTTAGTATCAATTAACTTATGAAAATGAAGCTAAATCTTGTAAAATCACGTTTTTATTTTCGAAACAACATCCAACTAATGATTATGTGAGACAAAAATCCATGGTGGCAGAAAATGGTTTGAAGAAATAAAACGAATTCAACCAAACAACAGATTATTATCCATAAAAAACAAGAATCTACACGGAGATGTATACATGCATACACAAGAACATTGATGGGTAGTGATATCAGCAAAGATGAATCAATAAACAAACAACACTATGCACGGATGATATACATGATGCAGTATTTAATATTTAAAAAAATAACTGGCTTTTCAACAAACATTTTTGGATGAAAAAACTCTAAACAAACTTCAAAAGTGTTTGAAAATGTATGATTTTTGATAAAAATGTAACTGTATTGACATATTTAGCATGTTGTTGTCTCTGGCAGAAAATCAAATGATAAAAACCTCATATTGTAGTGTATAAATGTGAGGAAAGTGTGTATCCAATAGGGAGAAATAACGTCACTGTGTGAATTTATTACATATAAATTATATAATTTATTATATTCGAGTGCACTTCGAAGAGTTCAGTGTATACTGGATGACGTGGATGATGTTGATCAGTGATACTATTTATTATATTGAAGAATGATATGAGTAATTGTGAGATTACAAATGATAATCTAATCTGTCACACAAATCACATTTACAAACAACAAAAACACGATGAAAATAATAATGATTAGCATTATATATTTAACTTGATTTGATTCTCATTCCAAGACAAATTATTTGTTAACCGCCTATAAATTTTCTGGATATATTGGCGTTAGTACAGGCGCTGTAGTGGTAGTAGTAGTAGTAGTAGTAGTGGTGGTTGTTGTAGAGCTTGATGTTACTTCTCCACTGGCGGTGGTATTTTTTGTTCGATTACTAAATTCATTGGCAAATCCGTTATTGACTGTATCAACATTATTCTCATCCAAGTCACTGCAACCAATCAATTCACCTGAACTACCACTTGTATTCAACTCTTTCACTCCAGTATTATTATCATCATTATTATTATTATTATCATCGAATAATGGATTTTCAACCTCGATCTCACCATTCTATTAAAATAAATATGTATTAGGAAGAAATCATTTAGTTCAGTCAAATTATCTCAATCATCATGTAATAGAAAAAGTGTGTTGATATTTAAGGAGAAATGTACGGTATTCTAGATTATTTATAGTGTAGTGAGTCATTCAATGTCTAGCTCACATGACTCGTTTAACTTGTCTTTTGACCTTGTCAATCATTCGTTGCTTTAATTCATGTGTACAGTACAAGCTTATCTCGCTTGTTACATGCCTGCCTTATTTTTATCTGACTTGAAATTCTTATTCATGCTTGACCTATTTGGATTTGGCTCACTAGTCTTTCCCACTTTACTTGATTAACCAATTTGCTCGCTAGTGAGTTTGTCCTGCTCTGCTTGCTGGTGGTCTGCTGGTCCATTTGTGGTGTGCCAGAATAAACGTATTCAACACTTCGTGTTCACCTTGCGATTTAAACCGTCAGGCGCTACTTAGTATCGATTATCTGGACGAGCGAATTTCGAAGTTTAGGAACACGTTGAATACTGACCGTTACGAGACTATTGATACGCTGCACACCACAATAGTTTCAATAATGGTGATATGCTGATGGTTCTGTTTTCTGATAATATGAATGATATTTCGTTCAACTTCATCACGTTAGTTAATCATACAAATATTTTGAGGAAAGTCTTAAATAATGTGAAAAATCGATTAGAACAACACATACAATTGAACAATATTGTTTTCGAGTGGATCGTCATCAGGCTTTACTCTAATATACATGAATATTTGTATGAAAATGTTAAACCAGTCAAGGCAATCACGAAATCAGATAGATTACTTCACTACACACACTAGGCAGAAGTACAAGTTGATAGTAAGAAGACAAGTGTACAGGTGTACCTCCTACACATAGCAGAAGTCATAAAAATTCGTACATTCAACCCCAATTTATTTGTTCAGAAGAGATTCGTGACACTCCGTGACCGAATATAACTTAACACAACGTTTATTAATTTTTCCTAAATTTTATTTTATTATTACTAGCTTTATTTTCACATCTTGTATTTGTTTGTAATTTTCTGCCTCTTCCCGTTTATATACTTCACTATCTAATTATGTACAAACTTCTTAGTGCGTAGTGGTCTTAATGTTTTGTAATGACTATTTTAAGTCCATTTATCCACGTTTGACCTACTATTGATAAAACAGTCTATCGCAATGCAAAAACACTTGAAAGACATGCGTCGAATGAAGTTGACACTTTAAAAATAAATATCCGCGACTTGGAAAGGAATCTTCTCCTCAGTAAACATTCCGTTGATAGCCTGACTTCGGAGGTCCATTCACTGTTCATGGACTATGTTGAAAAAGTTTCTGAGAACAGATGTGAGAATACGGTTAAAAAACTCGTGAAAACTCGAAAACCAAAAAGCCAGAAAAGGAATTTCCTCTTGGTAATGATTATTTTAAGTCTATTTATCAACGTTTGACCTACTATTTATAAAACTTTTCTTATCATATTTTATTTTTCTAGCTACTATTATTATCATTACACATGTCTTCTTACTATTAAATTGTACTTCTGCCTAGGACGTGTAGTAACGTAATTTATTTCATTTCATTATGATTATTGACTCAAACTGCCTTGACTGGTTTAACATTTTTATACAAATATTCATGTATATTAGAGTAAAGCCTGATGACGATCCACTCGAAAACAATATTGTTCACACTTGTATGTGTTGTTCTAATTTTCATAACGAGGATCTTTAAAAATCGATTAATCAAATCCACAATAGTAATAATATTAGTAATGATAATAATAGCTTTAGTCAATATTATATATTTAGTACAATATGAAATTCTGAAGTGATAGACTATTAAAATAATCCACATGTGAATAACTTACATTAGAAAGTCCTGGACATTCATAAACTGTAAAATCACCTTCATCTACATCATCTTCGCTGTCATCTTCATCACTAATTCTCGTATGATCATTCACTCTGAAATGTGTATAGTTTTCAGAAAAAAAAGCCAACAGAACGGAAATCATGAGTTATTTAGAAATGCCAAAAAACTGAGCAATGTTCAATTCTGTCTGTATAGACAATGCCTAATAGTGGTCTAACGTTCATCGATTCATGATTTCAGTTATGAAACTTAGCAATCTTCACAACCCTGTAATGCAATTACCTGTGCTCACTAGAGACTAGCTCTGTGAGGAACTTTCTCTGAGTTCTGGTGGAAAGTTGTGACCAGTGAAGTTCAACCTGTCCGGGTGTAGGTAGTAACTGCCGAAGACAGTTTATGAGGTTGCGCCACTGCGTGAATTGATCTGAGTTAGACATTACCAACGTTAGATACCGGCTCAGTGGTCCAGGGGTTAGTCGTCCGCGCGCATAATCGAAGGTCCTGGGTTCGAATACTGCGAGGTGTAAGAGTCCTAGATGCGCACTACTGATGAGTTCCTTATCAGGACGAAATGACTGTCCAGTGTTTTCAGGTTATTATGGGGATCAAACGTTGGGCGATTCATGATTTCAAATTTATATTTATGCTGACTTTTAATAATGTTTAGTTTGTGTTAAATAATATGTGTATAAGTTTATCACTTTCTAAAACTATAAAATCACTTCTACTTTCTGAAATGGTTCGTTGTGGGGTTAAATCAATTCTTCTTATTTTAGTAATCATTATCAGACCATATTAATCATATTAAGAGAGGTGATAAGCGGCACACATCTTGCAGTTCAAATATATGGGTAGATAGATAGAGATATTTTTCTGGACTTGTAGTTCACTAATCGGTATGACATAATTGTCTAGTTTAGAACGTTACACTTCAGATTTTTTAAAAATTGTAGAAAGTATATTGGCATATGATGCAGACCAAGATAAGGTTAGATTATTTTTAGTAGTAAAGATTTTATAAAATTCATAAAGTTGGCCAAACAAATAGTGGTGAAGTGACGTGATATAATTAATGTGAGCGAAATATATTTATCGAGAGCGAAAATAGTGAAAGCATCGTTTCTCAGTTATTCTTACATTATCGCAACAATGGACATGTAATTCCAATGTGAAATGTGTTAGATATTCAAAGAGAATGGATAGTTTGAGACCTAGATTATGTGGGATTTTAATCCACTTTATACAGTGTCAGAATGATGTTTGTGACTATTGAGCTATTTGAGTAGTTGATTCTGTTATTTGAGTGTTTGTGTATAATGACTGCAGGGACAAAAATGTTTTCTCAGTTGGAAACATGTTTTCACCACAAGATCTTAAACAATTTTAACGGACACTTTTTGAAACAAGCAACTATCAATCAATACCAACGTCAGAATTTTCAATACAAATATCAACAAAGATGTGATGTAGCGAGTAGAGAGTTAGACAACCACGAAAGCCATCATTCTCAAGATTCAGGTGGTTTTTAAAACTTGTCTACACAGGATACTGCAGATCCCTTAGACAGATAAAAACAGTGACAACCTACTGTCACAGAACAAACATCAGATTCCAGTTGAGGAAGAAATTGGGAAAAACCGAAGGAGGTGGATAAGACATATTATGGAATGCAATCAACTGCCTCCAAATACAAGCACTAACTTCCAATGCTTAACGCCGAAGGAGAAGAGGTACACCAAATAACACATAACGTGGAAAACGAGAAGCAGATACGGAAAGAATGAACAACAATGACGTCGAACTGGAAAGGAAGTAAATTATTCGCATACACAATACATCACGCTCGAGTATTTGGACACATTAATTCAACTAGATACGGTTTCATGAAGATATTAACATATTTGACTAACTTTTCTAGTGCTAACATTTGCTGCTTTTGATGTTGGTAGTGATACATTTGTGCTGATTGTGCAAGTTTACGATCATTCTCCGAACTAAGTGATAATAGTTTATTTGGTGAATTTGAATTCTCCAGTATAAATTCTTCATCTTGACTTAATTGGGATTGTTTCCATAGTTTTCGTCTTGATTAAAATGGAGAAAGAGAACAGATCACAACAGTTATTACTGCTGAGTAGATAAGTAAGAATAAATTACAATATCAATCGACATTTTATCAAAAGAAAGTAATGTTAAGTAATTTCAAAGGATAAAATCTATTTTCATCCCACCGATAACGACACATTGAAGAATTCCGTTCACAAATTACTAAAATTATAATAGATAAACGTAATGCTGATGAAATGTTGACTAATAATTAGTGTAGCAGATTTTGACATGATTGATATGAGTTTATTTTAACAAAATGTACATAGCCACTAATTTGCAGGAAAATATATTTGTATATGAATTAATTAGAAGCTGAACAAACTAACAAGCTAATCAATCTACTCGGAGTAAGTGACAGTCATTTCCTATCAATTTAGAATTCTAATGTTGTCAGTAATTTGGATGGTATTGTATTTTGTATTTATTATTTCGTCGATATGGTTCATACAATGTCTAGTTTCATACTTTACAAATTACTGCACTTCTTATCGGATAATAAACAATGAATAACTTTCAATTTAATCATCCAAGATTTTTTATTTTCTTAGCTAATAGAATAAACATTTCATTAGAGATAAATGTGATTTTATCGTTAAACTGTCTAGAGGTAGTTGGACAAGTTTTATTTCTAAATGTGTACGATGTGATTAGCTAGTCAACATCTATCTATCTGATTCTAATGATATTGCATTATCCGTATAGATAAATATCTAACTACATTTAAACAACGTGTAACAATATTCTGTATGTAAATTTGGAAACATATTAAAACCCACAACTAGTCATGTAAATTCAATGATTATTTAGTGAACAATTGTAGTAAACATAAATTTCACTACATAAGTTTTTATTTCATGTTGCAATTCTTACCTCTGATAAGCTGTGCCTATTGCTGCGATTATCAATACACCCAATGCTGCACATACTGAACCAATAACTAGAAAGTAAATTTAGAACATAACAGTAATAATAATAATAATAATAATAATAACACAATAAGAAACTGGAATTTATGATAATTTTTGATCAATAATGTCATGTAAACTGGGTCAATAAACACTCATTAAACATTAAGCTAACACTGTTACGCCTTCATACATGTTTAGTTAGTCTCTAATCAACTGTATATTATTGTATCGATTCTCACATTCTAACTCTGTGCAAGTTAGTTGGATTTCGTTAAGTAAATTAGGTCATCTAAATGATGAATCTTCGTTTGTACTTATTCAAGTGTGTATTGTTTATCAAGTGAAACATGTACTACTTATTAACTCAGTTTATTAAACTTGATTTCTCTATGAACACTCTGAAAATGCAGTGAAACTAGTGTCAGTCGACACCTTATTAGTCAAAATTAGTTTCGCTTACGATAACTAATCAGGACAAAACTACACCTTTCGTTCATACTTTACTTGATCCAACAATCGTTCTCAATAACTTCATCATCAGGGTCTCTAGAAATAAGATCTTTCAAAGACATCATGGATAAGCTACATTATCACTGCCAATCGTGTGTGATGAAATTATTAATCAACAAGAACTGTTGAACAGTTTTCATCATGTTCATCTAGTTAGTGAATTAATTCATCAGCGATGAGGAGAACGGCAATAGTATAGCTTTCCTTGATGTCCTACTTTCTAGACGAATAAATGGTTCCATGAAAGGAAATACATTTAGAAAGATTACATGAACAGGTCAATATACCCAGTTTCTGAGCTCCAAACCTCTTCAGTACAAAATAAATTTAGTGAAATGTCGCAGACAATTAATCAAGCAGTTATATTCTGGGTATAGTGTAGATAGTGAAATAGATAAACTAAAGAAAGTATCGCAAAACAATGGTTGCTTAGATAATTTTGTCAGAAAATGTTTATCAGAACGGAAATATAAAACAAATTGTAACACACTCAGCAAACAATCCGTCTACCAAAAATTGATTTCAAAGGGTCATAGCGGATATCATTCAACCTCATCACATCGACTTGAAAAGATTCTGTTGAAAAGACATTCAGACATTTAAGGTTACATGTTGTCCTTCCAACCGAACCAGTACTCACACAACAAATCAACGATAGACTGCTTATGATGAGTCCCTCTATGTGTGCATAACAATGCAATTGTTCGAATGGAGCTAGTTTCATAGTCCGTACTCAGAGCAATTTATCTTTGCTTGCTTGTGAACATGTATCAACATGATTAGGAAAAGGAATAACGTAATCGAGTAACAGTGCCACCCCTTCTCGCTTGGTAAGCAGAGAACATCATATAAATATAGATGAAGCACTCAGTTTTATATCAAGTTCTGAACAATCTACCGAGAGGAGATAGGTAACATCTATTCTGTAAAGCTTAGGCCATCTGGATCGACACCAGAATAACTAACTTATGTATTCGAAAGAGATATATTCAGCTGCCATTTTGTTCACGTTGGTCCACGACAGGATCATTAGAAACTTAAACTAGATATCACAAACCTCTTCACCCTCCTCCCATTTCATTTTGTGTTTAAATCTGTAATAATGCTGAGTTTCATCGTTCCCAATTCACATGAACTTTTATTTTGTACTTTTATCATAATTACTTAGGCCACACTGCTCATGTTAAATATGTTAGTCACGTTATTTTTATTTTTATCTGCACTGCCAACACGAAATTCCTCCTACTGTAGATTTTATTCACACGATTTATTGTGTACAACTTGACGCATTTCTCTTGAAACCATTTGAACTTTCTTTATCAAATGACCTTTCCAATTTACAAACAACACAGTCTTGAAGTATTATACCATGGTAGTTGCAAACTTTCATCATTTCTAACATATAACATTGTCTAATTCACCGATGGATTATAAATAATAAGAAGAATATACTTTGATGTTCATATTACGTTACTTTACAGACCTGAAACATAACTGTTGTACTTATTATGAATAAAACGAATACATGTCACGTTGTACTCACCTGCAGGTTGCCAATTCATGTAAGACCGTAATCCGTTAGATTGTAGAGCACCTACCGCTTTGAAAGCAGGTTTAGCTCTCATCTCACGATTTATTATATCATCAGAATAAACACTTGCTGTAATTGAGAAAATATTGTTTAAAAAATGTATTATTAATTAAGTATTCGTTTAAATACGGTGAAAACGGCAAACAGACAGAGGGAAAATGTATAACTTATTTTGAACTTCTTATACATAATCTTAAATTATTTCTAGAATTTAGAACTTTATTGTTTGGCATTGACTTTGCAAACTGAACACGGTAACAGAATATCTTTCCCTGATACACTAGATAACGCATTTAAAAAGAGCTATTAAGTGAACGAATTTTGACTACTTCGAAAAAGTTGACATATTATCGAACCATAATTTATATTCACAGTTGAGCAAATCAGTAAAAATCCTCCCACAGTCGTTCTAGAAGTACGGTTTGTTCAAAATTCGCGTAAAGGAGCGGGTTGGGCATGCGTTACTAACTATACATCACAAAAAAGCAAACCAGTCCGAAAAAATCATTTAGAACCATTCCAACTCTCTCCTAAGTCTATAAATAGAAAAACTATGACGACTCATAATGAAATTCAATATATTTCCATTGCTTATTCCATCTCTAGCAACCGAGAAAGATTTTTAAAAGTACATGTCCTGAATGTGTAACAGACTGAGAGGACCATTCAAATGCCTATGGAAATGAAAAGATACAATCTGGCCATTGTTGGATCTATTAAAACCCATTAGACACAATCTCGGATAAAATGACCATCTCCTGATGAAATCCTTTTGTAGCCTATTCATGAAGGAGAAAATACCCCACAAACAAATAGTTACACTTATGCTCTACAAATGACCACGAAAATTGCTGATACAATGAGAAATCCGTGGATTCGGAGTCATCAAACCATTCTACAGACAGAAAAAGGACAGTTTACATTGAATGTCATTCAACGACATTCACTCATCAGTGATAACAGTGAAGATGATTAAGAACGGTTTTCTGAGGAGCTGAAGTCCATCGTAAAGAACATATTTTATTCTAAAGTCTACTTTTGGGTATTATTTGAAAACAAATAAACCAAATAACTCACGATTTAATTTAATATCAAAAAATTCCAAATACGGATAGTTAGTGTTGCTTTGACTGATAATTCGATTCAGTTCATCAAGTTCGAAGTTACTACGATCTTTCAATGCCATTGAAATACCTGAAAAGGTTAAAAACATTGTTGTGAATGGTTAGTTTGAATAGTTCAATGAATTAGTTTTATTCGATGGTTAATTATATTTTCGGAATAAATATTTAAATAGATTAGCAAATTTTAACAGGTGTCAGTCATCGGCATTGAATTTCGTGAAGGTCATTTGAATAATCGATAGGTTTTCTACTTGAAATTTAATTTTCCATAGGAAAAAGTACCACCTTAAGAATTTTAAAAGACTAAAAAGAGTTGCACAAGTGTTATTATCTTTGTTTGACGCTGTTCAAGAGTAGGTATCTACCATCAAATCCAACTTTAATTTATAGAGATCAGATTATTTTTAATCCACTGAACCTGAGTCCAACAGCCTGACATCTTGGTCTCTATCATAAATTGAAAGGAATGCACAGTCAAATTTTATGGGTAATAAATATTGCTAAATCTGGTTTAATTCAACTCCACCATTAAAAAAAAACTCAAATTCCTCACTAAAATTTCGTGAACTCATTTTAAAGTCAATCACAAAATGTTTCCTGAGTTAATTACATTTTCTTTTATGTATTTGTACTTCATAGAAAGGAAATACAAGGTGATGACTATATTAGATCTGGCCTGTACGATATCAATGGATTTCCAATTTAGCCACTTTCTTGGCAATTTTCAAGTGTGGTTCTATTTTTTCTTTTCACAAATATTATTATTCTAATGCTGATTTGATACGCTTTAAATTAAGACAGTTGAAAAATGAATAACTATCATTGAAGCAACTAAATAATAATCTGAACAATATTCTTTCACAAAATCTTAAGATTGGTTTAGCTGTACTATTAATAAATCGATACACTAGTGTTGTATACATGATTTACACATAAAACTTATAATCTATATAATTTTTAAAAGAATTTTATATCACATTTCAGTAGATTATTAGAGCTTGTTTTTTCATCTAAGCACAAACTAATCTGTAATTTGATAGAAATGAATAAAATTGTACTGAAACATAAAAATACTTTGATATGTATGCACTTGGATTTGATCTTGGAAATACCATAATACTTAAATTTGTTTTCCATAAACTGACTTCAGCTTCTGAGTCATGAACGGTCAAGCTAATACTGACTGTGATTGTTTTTTTTGTGTGTTATGAGCTTTGAAATTTCGTAAGAATCATATACATAACTTCCACTGACAGGCTTTATTCATTATCACTGACAAGCTTCATAACTTTGATTTTAGTATGTGACTAAAGGAAGTCGAGTGAACACTTAACAATACTTTCGATCAACAAGTCAGAGACTATGCTTTTATGGTAAAACAGGACCAAAATATTCATTCTATTGTATTATCAAATTTTAGTAAACCATTTGCTTGCTATTTCCTTTAATGTTTAACCTTATTTGATGTTGTATAATGAAAGTATGTTTGTTCGAGTTAATTTGATTGACTTATATATCTGGACTAATATCGAGTTCCCAAGTCAAGAAGACTCAACTATCCAGTTCTTTAGTTATCTATAGTTCTTAAACTAATATTAATCTATGGTCAAAAAAAAATATTCAGGTCAATAAAATTTCTCACAAATCATTTACTTAATTGAACATAATTGAATTAATTAATATAAGCTTACGAGGATAAAAATCTCACTTTTCAACTTACTATCATAATGGTAGGGAACGCCAAATTCTTCACGTTTTTCTAACCACATTGGTAAGCCTTCTGATAGCAAACCAGTATCAAATCGTTTAAACTGATCGAAATATCCTTTTCGACCATGTGTTAGATTGTAGTTAATAATGATAAAAAGTGTAAAAATTATATATTTGATAGACGTGAACATAAGTAACTTCTAAAAATTATACATATCACGTTCACTATGAAATAGACTACAATATTTCATAAATGGAATGAGAGAATAAAATGATGACTATGCTTTATATTTTTAATTTCGTTAACATTTAATCCTTATTCTTTATTAAATCTCTTTGTCAGTAAAGGGTTTTCACTTAGAACGTTATCTAAACAAAAGTATACCACCAAAAGAAATATACTCAGCTAAATTAAAGAGAAATATGATTATGTCTGATGCTTAAAAAAATCAATGTTAATGAATGAGAGGAGATTTGAAGGTCATAGCGTCGAAAGCCAATCAAATTTACGTTCATTTGCCTTCCCTACATTTATTATCTGCCTATGATGTCAGAGTAATGAGACCAGTGAGTAGTCGTGGGATAAATTCACTACCATTGTCCCCTTTATTTTATATTTCGTCCCACAAATTCATTAATTTTCAAAGATTATCTTTCCAATCAACATCAGTGTTTTGGGTTTATGATGAAAATTTTAGAAAACTTAGAATTCAACTAAATTATCCTTATAGTATCCACACAATTGTATAAAACGTGAACTGAACTCATACTGATAAATCATATACAATGTTGAGATTGGAATTGCAAGACAAAAATAATTATTTATAGTATCCGGATAGGAAAAAATATCACGGAGTGTTTAGACACAAGTAAAAAGGGGCATATTTGAAAATCACAAAAGAAGTTCATTGATTCATTTAGAAAATAATGAAAATATTACAAAGATACTGTAGAAAAGAAAATTATCTTTGCCATAGCATATTCATTCTTTTTATTTGTATATTTACTAAATAATTGAACCCTGAAGTCATGACACTATATTATAGTTAGAAGATTTAAAAAGAAAAAAATCTATCATCATATTGTCGATAATTGATTCATGCATTTCTATGCTATAACTGTTGTAATAATTAGATAATTTTCTTAGTGTATCTTTTGGGAATATAACTAATATTATTCAGTTTCCTGACAAACTGATCGATATGTAGTTGTGGTATTTAGTTAATTAACCTAATTCATTGTTTATTATTATGTAAATTAACTGAATAATTAAAATTTCTAAAGTATACAGGAGTAATCATAGGATGTAGATTATTTGAAGAAATAACTGGTAGATACATTAAATGTTTACAAAATTACCTATAACAATGTTGAATAGAGTGTATTTAACCTACTGACCTATTGTATCAATAGTAAACATCAATATAACCTGTAACACGGGTTATTTCCAATCGAACCTATCCTATCGACCTGATGTTCAGTTCGTGCAGTTCTAACTATCAATAGGAAGAATAAAACTACAAAATGCAAATGTACTAAACTTCACCCAATAGCATAGGTCAATGGCTGTCTGCATTCAGTAGCTACATAAGTAATGTGAAAGCGTTTGTTATAAATAATATTGGGTTCGAGTTTTGGAGTGAGCATCAACTCTGAAACATAGGAACATCAAGCTGACCAATCCTGAATAGGACGAAACATGCGCCCTGGATTCTACTGCTAGCCACTATTCATCTCTGCTTGATTACAATTGTTTCCAATTTGATTTTCATGAAGCTTTATTCTAATATAAAGTAATGTTCATACACTTATGATGATGTTTTGTTCTTTGAGCTGGTTGGTTTGTTCGTAGAGTTTTATTGTTCTTCTGGAGAACATCATCAACACTAACTCTAAGTGGGAGTGAAGTATTCAAATTCTCCTTCACATGGCTCTTAGCTTTTACTGTCGATCCCAGTTCTGATAAGTTGTTGTTGTTGTTGTTGACCTTAAACTTGTCGTTATATGCCTCTTTATTTTGAATGCGTCATCCTATGATCTGATTCTCGGCTATGTGATTGTTCATGATATTTTTTTAATTTATTGATAAATTAGATCGATTCTGATGTGCTTATTGATTGCTAATCGATCTGAGTACCAAGCTTGTAAGAATTCTCAAGTGTCATCTGTGTTCCCCTTATCCAAGATTTCAACATTTTCCTCGGTTATGTATAACTTTAGTATAACTGTATGTCCACAGTTATACTACTTCTCATTGTGGAACACTGATTCAAGCCTATATTTCTCTTGTCATAACCAGTGCAGCTATCATCACTCTATGGATTTATACATTTTATTTACTTATGTAATCTATCTCACCGTCTTCACTGAATCAAAAAACAACGTTGGTTAGTTTAAACATTTCATTCATGAATATAAATGTTATTGTATAATAAAGCCTGATAAAAATTTCATGGAAAACAGTTTTATTCACTTATATTCATGTCGTTCTAATTCACAATATAGGAATTTTTTTAATAGTTGATCAAATGTTATATAATGACGGACCGTAGTATATTAATTAGCAAATTATGGAATAATTTCATTGTAGTGTACTGTGAAAATAACGAATACCCAAATTGGAGAAGGAAGAATTTACGATAGAGTTCATACAAAAAGTATGCCAAAACAGTTTTTCTGTTTATCCTTGAATCCTATCCCACTGATAGGCAAATGACTTGGCAAATCATAATCTAATTGTTGAAAATGTGTTAGTCAACAAGAGGTAAATTGGTGTTATATATATTAACACATTGAAATTATCAATCAGTCATTGTTAGACTCCCATTAGAAACCTGGATGCACTTGACAGCCGTTTTTTCCTGGTGTGGGACTCATCAGCAGTGCGCATCCACGACTCCTGCACCTCGCAGGATTCGAGCCCAGAACCTTCGGTCTTGTGAGTGAACACCTAACCTTTGCACCACTAAGTTCGAGTCCTGCGAGGTGCAGGAGTCGTGGATGCGCACTGGTGATGAGTCCCAAACCAGGATGAAATGTCTATCCAATGCTTCCGGGTTTCTAAATGTGGTCTATCAATGATTGGTTGATGATTTCAATGTGTAGGAAGAAAATAATCTATCAGCTAAATTTTACGAATTAATTTCAATAAATTTAAACAATAATTAATTGTTGCTTACGTTGACATGTTTGGAATGATAGAAATTCAATGACTAAGATCTCAAATATCTAACTATAAAAGCCTCCAAATAAGAGGATATAGTCGGCATTATATGTCAAAGAGAAAAAAAACCCAAAAATATCATCTCTAGATTTCACTATTATGTAGTTACTAAAAATAAATTAAATATAGAAATATTATTGAAATGAAAAAGTAGGTCAGAATATTGTGACATCGGTTTAAGAAAGCCAAAATTGTTTAAAAAGTATGTGATTTGATAGTTTTTTACAGAGATTCTCTACTTGTTACCTTTCACATTATTCAACTGACCTTAATGATAAAATAATCACAAAAGAAATTATATAGAATTTAATTGTTAGCATCATTACCATCAATCAGAATCTAATCATAACTATTGAATATGTACATTTGTGTGTATTTATAGATCTAATCGGAAGAAACTATTTGTATATATAGTTAGACCATTGAAGTAATTATAAAAAAACGTAGATAAGAAAGCCAATAAAAATAGATTAGATTGATGATAAGAATATAGTTAATAAATCAATGGACTACACATTCATAGCTTTGTCATTTAAAATTAAACTTACACCTAGTTAGAAAACGCCTCTTGTTTTGAAATTTATTTACAAATCTCTGAGAATGTTACTTTTAAGAAATTAACTTTCTACAAATTAGTTTTAAATTTTTCACTTGAATACTTTTTTGTCCCATTTTGTGTTTAATTTTTACTTTATATCTTTTCTAGAAACTGAATTATTTCAAGAATGTACACAATCAAAAGAATGAATTCAATTGACTTGTGTTTTGTTTATGTTAGGCATTTATCATCTACTGTCATTTGCCACTATGTGAAACAATTTTTGTGAGTCTTAAATTACATTACTCAACAATATTTTCATAACATTGCTGTAAAGCTCTTCAAACTGGTACTTATAACCCAGAAGGCTGTAATAAGGCTGGTAATAATTAGATGAAGCATTCTAAGGATTTCCTACTTACTTACTTACGCCTGTTAGCCCCAATGGAGCATAGGCCGCCCACCAGTTTTCTCCAACCAACTCTGTCCTGGGCTTCCTTCTCCAGTTCTGTCCAATGTTTGTTCATTCCTTTCATATCTTTCTCTATTTCTTGGCGTAGTGTGTTCCTTGGCCTTCCTCTTTTCCTTTTGCCTTGAGGGTTCCATGTGAGGGCTTGTCTCGTGACGCAGTGAGGATTTCCATATATTCTTGTTTATATTCAAAATAAACAAATCTTTAAATGAAAAAACTAATCAGCTAGAATCAGTCTTCTTTGCCTTCTGTAAAATAAAAATGGACACGCCATTTTAATCAATTTGATGAAATATGGTTCATTAGTATTGAGTGTAAGAAAACTGATTCTAAAATGATAAGCTTAGATCTTTTTATTCAATTTTAAGTTATTGAACTTAACACTTACTAACGAACCGACTGAAATAGAATTAGATATTTAATATGGGACAAAAATCTAGTAAATAATAACTTTATTGCTGAATGATAAAAAAGCGATGATTTTTGCGTGTACATCCTGTACAATCTTACGATGCAAAACAAATGATACAGCTCATTTTGAATTTCGTTCGTGTCAAATGAACCGTGATATTAACTCAAGTTTTATGGGAAAAAAAGTGTTTTGAGTTGGACGAAATACCAGGATGGAATGTTCATCAATAAATTTTTTTCTGATTTGTTCACTTTGCCGTCCAAGATTTTGATACCTGTACACGTCTCAGGAGCGTATGAAAACTTAGCAACTGACTTTATGAAATCAATAACAAGATGTCTTCCGACAACCACTTAGCCATGATTTCATAATGGTAGTGTCTTTTATGGATCAGGATTAGGTATGCATATCTCACAGCTAGATCAGGCTTAAATTTATGGTTAATATGATGTACATATTATAGTGACGTTTGTTTTGATTAGCTCTCTACTTATTTTCAGCCACTGTCGCGAGATTTCGTTTGTAATAATCATACTACTTACTAAATGAAAGTAGCCTGAAGAAAATGAGTACAGCTATCACAACGAACCTCTTATCCTATTAGTTGATAAATGTATTTTGAGATCTACTCCACATTTCGAATAAAATCTGATCTATCCAATATCGTTCAATGCATTTTTCTCTTCATTATTAGTAAATTTATCTATCATGAACAAATCTTTCATTTTATAATTGAGTATCTAGTTCATTTTCGTTAACATCAAATGTCTCATCTTGACATGCTAATATAGAAGCATGCTTATTTAAAAAGGCCTCCATTTCGTTCTCATTTGCTTGCTCGATGGACTTAGTTTTTAATATAATGAGCCAATTAGAAGTGTGATGACTTGAGCTTTTTTTCATTCTCCCTCAAGTGATCAGTTTTTTGGGAGAGGGCTTACCACGTATGGTGTTCAGATTTCGGATATCGCATATCACAACAGTTTTCACTTGAAATTTACTTTGATGGCGTTCTTGAATTTCAAGTACTACAAAACTTAATGTTTTTATATTTGATCCATTATATTCGTTTTCTCCAGTAGTACCATTTTATTTAAACCAACCTTTTTTTGATTCCTGGATTTTCATGTCTAAGACACTTTGTGAATCCCTTATGGATTCAACGCATGAAATAGAAATTTACTCTTGCTCAATATAAGGTTACTGATATATTTGAAAAGTGGCATTTGGTTTTCCAACTGACAATAAACTTATTATGAAAATTTCTAGTTAAAATCGATGTATCAGTCTTTATAATCTTCATCGTATCAACAACCAACTTGATTGATCGATAATATGAGTTACAATAAAATCTGTTTCATAGCATCACTCAAAACAGTTATCTCTATATGAATACTTCAAAAAAAAACATTCGAAACTCAGCCGATAATCAGTTTTAAAATTCAATTGTTTTATTTGACTGTTAGATCAGTAGACAAATGTACTCCATCAGTCATTCGATCTAATTTTTGAAACAATCCAAATTGATCTGAATTACACATATAGTGGAAATTTTAGTTTTTAGTTCAGATTGACTTTTGTGTACAATATTAATAAATATAACTATTTTGTCAACATTATTCAATTTCAAAACATGTGAGAAGAATTGAGATTTGATTAAAAATGTAATCAATATATTCGGTAAATGTTTCAAACAGCGTAAAAAATATGTTCAAAATATGCTTGAATACTTAAATAACGATCAATAGTTCATTACAAAGTAGAGAAATGTTCACGATACCATATAATCTATTTAAATATTGAATAAAAGAATAATTTGATTTGATAGTTTTAATCATAATGAGAAAATTTTAAATATCAGTGAAATATATACAAAATTAACAAGAATGAAATGGCTCTTGATTGTTTTACAAATAATAATGTTAGGTTTCTCTTTGCTTCCTTATTGTTCTTTACGGTATTATCGATCAAACAATGAACAAAATTCCGATTATTTAACAGTTGCTTTGCCAAAAATTCATAAACAGATTGATAAGAATTCTGAATACGTAACCCAAATACAACAGAGAACAACATTCAACAATGATGGAGATGATGATATTCCTGAAAAGTATTCAGTAGTCAACGGTGATTATGAAGACGCATTCCAGAATGTCGATTACACTGATAATGATCATAAAGATGGTAATGAAAATAATTATAATCAACCCAATATTAGAGGCAAAGATCAAAATTATATGGAATCTGGTCATATAGATGAAGATATAATGCAATATGAAAATGTAATTCGAAAACAAAGTGAAACTACTCAACAATTTAAACATATACCTAAAAATACTATTATGAAGTATACCAAAATTGACAGACCGCACAGTTTCAACAACAAGGATGACGTTTTGGCCACGACAGATTATAGTAATGCGGATTTAAGTGAATTATTTGATAAATATGCTCAAGATACTGATCAAAAATCAAATGCACAATTTGATTTAAAAAATTATGATGTAGATATTGACAAATTGTTTGAAGAGAAAATAAAAAATTCTAAAAAACAGAATAAATACTCTAATGGTGAAGTACCAAATCAACATTGGAAAAGAAGTCATCAAAACAATGTTAATGGTAATCGGAGAATGGATTCTTTGTACAAAAGAAGACAGTGGCAAACTTTACAGAAGAGACTGAAACCGAATTATAATGTGAATTATGAATGAAATAACAATAATATTAAAATGACTGAGAATTTTATTCAAAGATTATATTGAAATCAAAAGAATTTGTACCAACTAGGAAATTTATTTGAAAATAGTTATGAAAAGTAATCACAGTTTTTGGAGTGTCTATCTTCTCTTTACCTAATAGAAAAAGTGAAGGAAATGAATTAGATTAAATATTTTTACAATTTTGTACGAGTATATTTTCAGTGTAATATGCTTTATGTCCGATTATAATTAAGGCATTTTCAATTACGACACAGTAACTTCATTGTTTTCTCCTCCAGTGAACATTCGGCTAAGATCTCTGCCTTTCAAACTTCATAGTACAATTTATGTATTAAATACTGTCTAATATAAAAAGATGTACAACAAGGCTTCATTGAGCATATGTGTATTTAAATAATCAACCATCGGATAAGTATTAAATAAAGTGAATTCTAATAGAAATGTAACTAACAAGACATCTTAGTTGATAGAACATGGAGTCATTCTACAGAATGAATTTAATGAACACAATAGATAAGAGCATCAAGCTTCACAACCGCAGCCATTGACTAACAAAGCGAAATACACTAGAAGACTCAAGTCTAAATCACCTAACACTCTGGTTAAAGACAGTAACTTCAAAACCTTTTACGACAGTTAATATTCGGTAGAGATACATAAGGTAGGCCAGTGGATTATGAAGTAGAAAACTATGAGAGTTCACCTTGAGTAAAATAATGATTGTAGTTAGTCATTGTTTCTTAAAGTTAGTTTTTTGATTAGGTGATATCGTACATAATGCACCGAGGTATTGAGCTGAATATCTTGATGAATACCTACCAAAGTTGATTAATAGGGCTCGCTTAACTTTGAAGTATAGGCACAGTGATAGTTAGTGTTCATACTGTCATATATTTTAAAACCAGGTTTTTGATAGTTGAGGAAGCCCGTTGTTAGTTATTTCCATAACTAATTGTATTTATGTCATAACTAACCAATCAAATCGTGGTTTAAGCGCCCACCACGTGATCTGATCTGACGTGTTTGTAAGCTTTGTTGTAAATGACCTACAAATTGATTGACATTATTATCTTATTATACTGATGTGACTCATAACTTTACTCATTTTCATAAGACACGCTATATTGGTCAGTACGTTTGCTCGTCTTACTCGATAATTGTGATTTCCTTAGTTATTGTACTAATCTAATTGTTTTTATGTTTAGAAACAGATAAAGTTTAAAGCAAAAGTTGATCTTGTTATAACTGTAACTTTCCCATCGACTCTGTGCTCGCCAATATTGCGTTTACCGTTCTAGAATTACATCTGTAGGACAAATTAAATCCTACACTCGTTGTTGGTGATAGATAACAATTATAAAATCTGATTCAAATGAGAATTTAAAATTCTTAATTGAAAACAGAATATACAAAGAACTGTATTCTGGAATACCTAGTTAGCATTAGGCACAATAATGACAAAAAGATAATGCTCAGAAATCTATCCAACTTGCTCCAGTTCATCAGTATTTTTGATTCTATATATATTATATAAGCCATAATCATTCACAGAAACAAATTTTACTCATGTTTTTACAATATGTTAGAATGATCACTTTGTTTACCCTTCTTATCTACCTAATGAAATGATCCTTTATAAAGAATACTTAACTTTTTGACGTTTCTTATCATTTTCTTTTCATTTCTCATACTTTCATCATCAGTGTTACTCATTTTTTTTCATTTCTTTTGAAACTCATTAGTCGGCTTGATGTCAAACGCGTTGTTCGAATACTCACAATGCTGTTCAAGATAATTAATATGTTCATCTTCCAGTAATTGTTATTTCATCAACAAACAATCTACTTCAGTTTATTTAACAAAATTTTGAACTTTATAACTGTTGGGGACGTTAGATCCCCAGAACCCGCTTGACGAATGGCTTATTTTGGATTTCACGTTTGCGAGCATGGGCTGATCAGTTGACCTTAAGATTTCATTTCCCACCAGGAAAATCCTTGGCTGTGATTGGCTGCTGTGTATTTTAGTGTGCTATTTTTGTGACTGTCCCAAGGACGTTTCTATGATGTATAAGTAAACAAGATTTGTGTGCTTGATTGGATTGTGCTTGCTGGGTGTTTGTAAAATATACTTCCTACGCTTATTAAGACTTCTCTTTAGCCGTTTCAGATCAGAGTGGCCTACCTGGACGCTGGTAATTGTCTCGTTCACGTTTATCGACTAAGGTGAACCCGAAATAGCTTCAAGCATACTTAGTGACGATCCTAACAATAACTGATCTATTCATTTGGATTTTCATGTTATATTTTAATTTAGCCATTATTATTTTTATAAGTAACCGTAAAATTCAAACATGTTGTCAATTGACTGTTAATTATCTAGTTGGTATAAAAAAGATTGCACCTATGACGAGAACCTAATTGAAATAAAATATTCATATACTCCATTTATAATTTAAGTGTTCTGATGAATGGTATTTATGTTGTTTGCTACGTTAGAATAGACACCCGGATAACCACTTTGTTGAAGTATTAGATTCAATGTAGGGCTCACTGTTTTGGTGGCCTGCGTATCTGGCTCCATTATTTATGAACATTTCAATATGTTATCAAATAAATCTCTCCATCAGTTTCAGTATACTATACTTAAGCGAATCCCGTTTGCGCGACGGCGTTAATAAGAAACCAAATACGGATTCGGTTGGATGAATTAATTTCAGACAAATGTTCATGCAGACATGATAACGAAAAGCATACAATCAAAGCGGAGCGAATGAAAGTAAATTGAAATGGAGAACGTGAAAGAGCCAACTTCATCCCATTTAGCATGACTAAAGAAATACTAGTCAGACAAAAATGAGCCAGACATGTAATAAGCGAGACGTAGGTGTGCACACACACACACGAATAAAAGCAACGCACATATGCATGATGACTGACAAGGTCAAAAGACAATGGGGCGAAGCCCTGTGAGCTGGACATCCAAGCTCTCACTACAATGTAATACATATATTCATAACACGATCTTGAATAAGAGTAATTTAAAATGTGACATTAAAAAAAGGAATTGTGTAACGTTTGTCACATAAGCGTTCGATATATATATGATCGTTCAGTAGTACCTAAATTAAGACAGATCAAAATGTAATTTCATTACTAAATAAAATAATTCGGAACTCCCTGTGTTGTATGATGATGTTACTTGGTTAGAGAGAAACAGCAAACTAGCCTAGACCTAGGTTACAGGCTACTTGGTAATCATCACCCTAACTTACGTGAAATCTGTAGGAAATCGATCCTCTATATATTATATATTACCTACTAACTTACTGTTACTCCCAATGAAGAATAGGCCGCTGACCAGCATTTTCCAAACTAATATGTCCTGAGATTTCCTTTCTAGTTCTCTCCAATTGTTGTTGTTCTTCACTCTTTTCATGTATACTTCCAGTTATGGAAGTACTATGTTCTTTGGTCTACTGCTCCTACTTTGGCCTTGATTATTCCAAGTTCGGATTTACCATGTGACGCAGATGAATATTTTCCGCAATGTATGTCCTATCCACCTCCAGCGCTTCTTCTTCAGCTGGGATTCGGTTTATTAATTCCCAAAGTAGGATGCTACTGATGGTGTTCGGCAAGCGGATCCACAGTATTTTACGTGGAAACTGATAATAAACACTTGTATCTTCTGGATGATGGCTTTCGTAGATTTCCAAGTTTCAGCCCCATACAGTAGAACTATCTTGACATTTATATTGAAAGTGATGACTTGAGTGTTGGTTGATAGTTGTTTTGAGTTCTAGTTGTTGTTTACTTGTAGAAATGTTGTCTTTTGCTTTGCCGATCCGCACCTTCACATCTGCATCAGATTCACCATGATTGTCGATGATGCTGTCCAGATATGTAAAGGTTTCTACACCTTCCAGAAATTCCCCGTCAAGTTTGATTTGGTTTGTTGATGTTGTGTTGTATTAAAGAAACTTGCTTTTCCCCTTGTTTTTGTTGAGACCTACTGCTGCTGAGGCTGCTGCTACACTAGCCATCTCTCCCGAGTTTGTCGTTGTGCATTGGATAAAAGAGCTAGATTATGTACGAAGTCTAAATCATTTAGTTGGTTGTTCTGGTTTACGATTATTTCCAGTGAGCTAATTTGTTGTATTATACAGATGTCTCATGTTTCCCCTTTTTATAGCTTTTTCTGTTATCATTGCTAGATCTTTCAAATATATACGTTCCTCAGCTCTGATGTTCCTCTTCACTTGCTTGTTTGCTTCTGTGTATTTAGCTTGCATATGGCTTTCTTTGCTCTTGTTCGGCTGATATAGATTGACACCTTGTTTCTCCTTTCTTGAATCTTATCCAGTGTATCAACAGTGATCCATTCCTTGTGATGATGCTTCTTGTGGCCCAGAACCTCGTGCGATGCTGAGGTTATTGTACCCTAGATCCCTTTCTGATGTTATGCGTGGTGGGTTACTCTTCATCGAGTAGATCATAAAACGCCTGAAACCTATTTCTGGGGAATATCTTGGATTCTTTGACTTTGCTAGTATTTCGAAGAAACACCGTATTAGACTTTTATAACGCTGTTCGTCCATTTGCCCAGTTTTTCTTTAGTTTCGGTTTTACCTTGTCCACTACCAAGTGATTACCCGAGGCTTTGTCAGCTCCTATCTTTGTTCTTACGTCTTCTATGGTCCTTCTGAACTTTTTATTGATGCAAACGTGATCGATTTGGTTCTGTGCTGTGATCCGATGAAACCCATGAGGATTTTTGCATGCATTTTTGCAGGAATATGGGGCCGCCTATGACCGTTTTGTTGAAGGCATCTCGCACCGTTTTCATTCCTTTCTCCCAGTCCATGTCGCCCCATGATGTCATCAGCAACTTGAATGCTTCATCCAGTCTCACATTCCATGTACGTATATTGATTGTTGTTCTGGTTGTCAACTTGGGCATCGACTTCGTGACTTTTGAAGGAACTCTTCTTCTAAATGAAGACTTTCAAACTTCCAGCGCAAAGTTTAAGTGGTTCGAATAATTTTCTCCGGTTAGTGTTTTTTATAGAGCTGATTTTCTACGGAATGTTGTTGCTAACTCCATACCTAACTGATATGTTCATCAGCTGATATGCTTGAAACTATTACGGGTTCACATTACTCAGTAAGCTGAGAGCAGATCAATGATGCAGTGACACGATAGGCTATTTTAATCGAATTGCCCCAGGCCCGATAACTAGATCAAGAAGTTTTGATAAGGCGTACAGAATATATTCTACAGATACCCAGAAAGGTACAGGTTCCTAAGCATGCAAATCAAGCCTATTTGTACAATGATAGTAGCGCCCTTGGGAGAGTCACAAAATAGCGTACTAAAACAATCCGTCAGCCAATGACAGTCAAGGATTTTCCGGGTGGGAAACGTAAGCTGTAGGTCAACTAAGCGTCTCTCGGCGCGAAGACATAGAAATTCAAAATTTCAGGAATAATTACATAATTAGGACCTTTACCAGGTGAGTTCTGGGGATCTAACGTCGCAAAACTTAACCCCCTTGTTTACCCCTGCCCGTAACCTGAATTAGCCCCAGAAGAGCTTCACGCGGTGTTATGTGATGTATTACTGAACGATTAATGTCCCTGAAATGAATCTCTCACAAAACCGTCATTAATAATTAGTATATAAGTAGCCTTCATTCAATAATTATTCAGTCAGCCAAACACGTAAATGTCACTTTTCATTCAGCAGAGTGTGTTTTAATATTAGTGTCATTGAATGATCATCGTTTTGTGTGAGCTACTTATAAGTAGTATATGACGTGAGTGTCAACGTAATGTCTGGCAGCGGAAGATGGGGAGAGATCAAGAAAGGAGGAGTTAGAAAACAATGGAATTTGTATAAAACGCATGAATAGTGACAATGGATTGATGTTTGGCAACAGGAACAGTCCAGTTCGATTTGATGAACTGATAATTTGCAAATGAACAATTTACGATATGGTTTTCCAATTTTACTGAGTAACTCTTTAATTCTCGTTATATCCGGTTGCCCCACCTCTGTTCCCGTTCACTACAGTTTAGGTGCGTTCGAAAAGATATCGAATTACTAAGTTCAGAAGTTTAAAAAAAGACTTAAAATTAATACTAGAGTAAAATTAATAGTATAATTTTTTAAACATTATATTTTAACCAACTTTCAGTATGAATTATTATCACATAGATTGGTAATTTTTAATCATAACCCACACATATCTGCGAATGTAAATTAAAATGACAAGAGATGAAGAGTTGTATAGTTGACAGAACAAATCTACATCACACAGTTATCCAGCTAAAGTTATCCAGTATGTTTTCAATGATAGATAGATTTGAGTTATCCAATTACCTTTGATCATCTTTTTTTTTACTGATTTAGTGGGTGAGTACTGCAATAAGGAAGTAATTTTAGTTGCACATTTGATTTTAAGCGTTTGGAATTAAACTCAGCTGTCAGCCGTGAACACACCAGCGTAGAGGATCTTAAGATCCTGTTTAAGAGTAAGAGTATAATATAAAAATAGATTATGTAGACTAACATAAATGACAGACCATTGTTTATGGTGACCGACCATAGAATAACTAAAAATTTTAAGCCATCTAGTCATCAGTTTTGAGTTAAATCAATCTATAACACTCAAATACTGTCACACATCTGAACGTCCTAGAAATGAGGATGTACTGCTACATTTAATTTTATTCTTCAAAATAGAAATTAGTAATAGAAAGAATTACTTCACAGAACGATCTCCTACTGTAGTGGTGAGCGATTAGTTTCAAAATTCGTTTACTTTTCACATCGGCTTTACTAACAGGTGCTAACAAGAATTATATATATGGTCGGGATAATGTCAACTAATCTCAACCACTCATTATTATCTATTGTTACTATTACAAGTGAGAATAAAATATCATTTCATCTATGGTATTTCTATATAATTTATATTTGATGTAGGTGTTTGTGATTAAACTTTTCATAAACTGTTAGGATATTCATCCAATATCTTAAGAGAATTATTGGTCTATTCCTATTGGTTAATTTGTACTGGTCAATTTTATGGTCATAATAGATATCATGTCACCTGCTCTAGTGTTGTTTCTTATTGGTTGTCCTGACTATCAATGTCACTTCAAATGTTGCTTCCTATTGGTCGTCTTAACTGTCATTGTCACAGACTTCGATGCTGTTTCCTATTCGACCAAAATGTATAAATGCGCATTACCTGTAACGTTTTATGACCACGACCAGGCCCAAGACCACGTCCCGGATCCTTAGTACGGGATCCTGATTCTCTTCTTTACTCGAACCTCGTACTTTCTGGATGCTTGTAGAAAACAAGTTCTACTTCATATCAAGTCTTCTTATTTTTGCTCAGTATGGAGGTGGTCTGGGATAATCGTATTTGAGTAGCATGTCGTGTCGCCGGATCCTCGATCTCGTTTTCCGACTAGTTAAACTCGTAATAGTTCAAGTATATCAAGTTGACGTGTTTACGTGCAGGCATAACATAAACTCAGTTTTCTAACATACATTTTTAGAATGAAACAAAATTACTATTTCAACATACTATCAAGCGATTAAGGAAGTAGATAATCAGATTGGTTTTAAATTATTTTATTCACACAATACAACATATCAATCTAGTAAAAGATTACAAAATATTATTGATTAACATAACTTATCATGATATTGCTTCATTATCTAGAAGGTATTTGTTAAACAGATTATTACCCTAATAGCATCAATAAGATTTCTTTCATGTACAAGTGATCTATCTCTTGCTGATGTTATATTCTTCAAGCGGTCTGATTTAGTCGTAAAGCTATGAATAGAGTTTAGTCGAACAAAACGGCTGATAAAAATACAACTACACATGTAGATAACCAATCGTAAACAGGGCTATCAGATCTGATCGATATGATACTTTTGAAATAGTTACCAAAACGCTTACTTTAGCCTGTCGTAGATGTTGATAGCATTGTACAGAATGATCACTAAACAATCGCAATTAAACTACTTGACTTACAGAACGTAACCTTATACTAGTTAATCAACGTAAGAAAAGAATCACATTATTTGTTCGACAGTAGAACTCAATCAATTTCATAATACTTATCGATTTAAGCAAAATTAGGTTTATTGATAAAAAATTTGAAAATATATATATCAAGTGCAAGAAGACAATAGTTTAATGATTTTGATTAAATCTCTATCAAAATCAAGAAATAATAATTATAACTATTTAAGAAGAAGAAATAAACTATGTATGTATTCAATAAATAAATACTTTTTGATATACTGTATCAAATTTGTTTTTATTTAAATGGACACTATGTATTATATAAGCTTATTGATTTTATACTATCTAACTTGCATTTATAATTCAATACATGGGATAGTTCATACAACAATACATAAAAGGCTTCTACCATTTTATTACTTGAGTTATCAAAAGCCTAATTATTATTATTATTATTTGAATAAAAAATTAGATAAATATGATTATTCATTGAATGGTTATCTTCCATCTAATCAATATTATTCCTATTATCCAAGATCATATTCTCCAGTGAATTATCGAATTATTCCTGGCGTTGACAAGCTTAAAACTATTGAAACGGAAACATTGAAACATGTAAAAGAATTCACTGAAATTACTACAGAACATAAAAAATCTGATAGTGTTTTACCTTCATCTACTAGTTATGATTTTGATGAAAATGATATTAATGATGAAAATAATCAATTTGAAATCAATAAGTTTATCGATAATGGTGCTGATTATAATTTTGAATCATTTGCAGGAAATAACCAAGTAACAATTACACCAAATAGTTATTTGAATGAAACAAATAATTTGAACTATCAAAAAACAAAACAATCAGATATTTCACTTTCAAGTAATCAGAAACGAATAAACAGTAGTGATATACCGACAAGTAAACACAACAACAACTCATATTCATCAAAGCATGTTGAAACACGATTCAATGAAAACTTTCTATACAAAAGACAGATAATCAAGCAACGTGAATCATTACGTTATATTGCACTTCGTCCTTCGAGAAAAAAGAAAAGTTACTGGTAATTTTTAAGATGAATTATTATAGACCACTATTATCATAGTATACTGAATTTTGGACTGAAATCTGTAATTATGTTTGATCATGTAATAATTAAAACTGACTAAACAAAGAACGATAAACATGAATGAATACGAGCTGACATTAGTTGAATGAATTTCTGTTAAGAAAGGCTCTGTGATTCTTTTATACACTGATACCTTCTCTTTTTATGAAAATACAATGCCATTAACCAATATATCCTATGTGTTACGCCTGCACGTAATTACATCAACTTGATATACTTGAACTATTGCGAGTTTAACTAGTCGGAAAACGAGATCGAGGATCGAGGATCCGGCGACACGACATTCTACTCAAATACGATTATCCCAGACCCCTATATTGAATATAAATAAGAAGACTTGAAATGAAGTAGAACTTGTTTTCTACAAGCATTCAGAAAGTACGGGACCGGGTCTTGGACCTGGTCGTGGTCATAAACCGTTACATTTTGGTCGAATAGGAAACAGCATCGAAGTCTGTGACAATGACAGTTAAGACGACCAATAGGAAGCAACATTTGAAGTGACATTGATAGTCAGGACAACCAATAAGAAGCAACATTGGAGCACGTGACATTGATATCTAGGACGACCATAAAATTGACCAGTATGAATTAACCAATAGGAATAGACCAATAATTCTCTTAGGATATTGGATGAATATCCTAACACTATGTTCATATCTGATGTCAATGAATGAAATTACCAAGATTAGAACACTTGACAGAAGTTTGAATGTGAAACTTTCATTATCGTTCTGGAAAAAATAATCAACTCCAAATTCAAGTAGAACACAACATTATCATAAGAAATCCACCTTGGTCACAAATATCAAGCACAGTATAATAGTAACTCAACACATACACTGATAGCTTATCAAATAAGTAGCCATTAAGAAGACTATCAACTAGTCGGTTTTAACATGTTATTTCGATTACATTCGTTTATTATATTTTCTGGTTATGAATCAAGTTCATGTAATTTCGCTCATGTTATCTGATATACTTTGAATCTATGAAACTAGGTAGTTAGTTTCAGATATTTCTTTAAATTTCTTTTGAACAACAATATACAAATCTAATTGTTACTTAAGTTTCACTAATTATTTAGTGAGACACCGCACTTATTTTTAGTTTTACCACTTACGTAATACTAAGTATCTAGAAAGACAAATAAAATTAATATAATGTGGTACTACTGACAAAGTTTCAAGTTTCGCTTCAAACTGAAAAGACAATGATTTAATTCACTGAATTCAAATTAAATCGGATAGTTATATAATATCTTTGGATTTTTTGGACATCATCACATAATATGGCAACCTTCTTGAATACCTAGACTATCTGTTTCTTACCATTAAAATATTTCATAAGGTCACCTCTTTTTGGTTATTTTTAATACATCAATTATGCAGGATGAGATTATTCCAAGATTCGAAGTGGACTTACAGCCATATGATCATGTGTTTTAAAACGAATTCGATACCAAGAGATCCTTATTACGTAGAATTTCAGTCATTAAGTTATTATAATTCATCCAGGTTATACTTATCTGTAGATTGTTTTACTTACCCAATCAATACTCTGAAGATTAGAAATATTTCATCGTTCATACTGACATTTAACAATAGAGTTCATTCTAAGAATTGCCAAATACTTAGGTTATTTCATAGCTACTGAGATACTTCAAGTTGAAATTTCTGATCGAATGAAAGAATAAATGTTTGACAAGTCTAACAATCATACATTTTATTGAATTTTCAGTGCAGCTAACTGTAGAATTCAGAATATAAGTCCCTTTCAGTTTAGGAATCGTCATCTGAATATAGCTGTATCCTGGGCTGATACTCTTTCTGAAACTTTAACCTGGTACTGATGATATGATGACTGAACTATCATAACTCTACTGAAAAACCGTTGTAAGTGAAGTTAAATATTACAAGAAATAGTTACATTCATCTTTACTGGGATATATCAATCGTACGGTCGACATGTTGCTATTCCAGCACAATTAAACTCATAATTTACTGATCATATATTGTGTTTCATATGGTTTGCTATATATACTTCTTGAATACTCAAAGCTGTCTATAGGCGTCAAAATAATCATGCTTTACGGTATACATTGTAGAATAATGTGAGGGATTATCGCTGATTGCTCATATCTCTCTAATTGCTTTCTGTCCTTGCCAAACTTCTGAGTCACTTATTTTTTTATTTGTGCAAATATTACTTATTTGCTTTACTTTACTTTCGCCAGTTACCCCCAATGGAGCGTAGGCCGTCCACCAGTTTTCTCCAACCAACTATGTCCTGGGCTACCCTTTCCAATTCTGTCCAATTTTTGTTCATTCTTCTCATGTCTTTCTCTATTTCTCGGCGTAATATGTTCCTTGGCCTTCCTCTTTTCCTTTGACCTTGAGAGTTCCATGTGAGAGCTTGTCTTGTGACGCAGTTAGGTGTTTTTCGTAACGTGTGTCCTATCCACTTCCACCGCTTCTTCCTGATTTCCTCCTCCACTGGAATGTAGTTTGTTCTCTCCCACAGTACGTTGTTGCTGATGGTGTCTGGCCAACGAATCTGAAGTATTTTGCGTAGACAGCTGTTAATAAACACTTGTATCTTCTAGATGATGGCTTTGGTAGTTCTCCAAGTTTCCGCTCCATACAGTAGAACTGTCTTGACATTTGTATTGAAAATCCTGATTTTGGTGTTGTTTGATTGTTAAAATATTACAGTGACTTTTTTCATTAGATTTTTATTATAAGAAATTAATTATGCATGCGATACAACCGGAGATTTCGAATATTTTCCTTTTGCCATTATATCTTACTATCAAAGGATAATACGGTCAGGACCGAGATTTATACTACTACTTGACAAGATACTTGATTGATACATTGTGTACAGACTGCATAAATTATATCATATACACAATTCACGACCAAATATCGAAAGCCAGAATATAGATTATACAGTGCTTTATCCAACACAAGTTCAGGCAGTCGAAAATCAATAAATCCAGGGTATGACTCATTAATGGAAAGGAAGTCACATATTTAACGATGACTCAGCTGTGTTCGTAGGTCATCGTATAGTGACCAATCAAATCTTACTTTTATTAGCCACAACTCCGTATTTTAACCGCAATCTGTCGCACAGCTAAATACTAAAGAATTTATTTAATCGGGACTACTGAGATCCTCTACATAATTTACTGCTTGTCTTTACTTTGGAAAAATGAGAAGCAGTCACATGAGTATTGATACATCAAACATACGCCTGATAGTGAAAAGTTTATGGAAATCAAATTTGTGAAATAATTCATAACTTGACATATAATATTGAATAAAACAATTTGCTTTATTTATTTTTGATAGACTTATTGACAATAACCGAGTGAATGGAATTTAGTGCATTATTCATATGAAAAATAGAATACTGGCTACATTACTTCATTCAGAAACAACATTTACTTGATTGTGATTAAGCCAGTATACAGTACACAACATGATACTAACTATTTCTCAATTAAGGCAAAATCATATCGATAAAGTTTGTAATTAATTCATCAAATTTAATGATATAGTAATTTTCAGCGATTGTGACTCATTGTAGGGTAGTAGAATCTATTTCAGAAATTCATTGACCACTTTGGCAATTAAAATGAATTATTTTTCTCTGATTTTGTTGGGGACGTTAGATCCTCAGAACTCACTTGATAAAGGTCCTAATTTTGGATTTTATGCTTTCGCGCATGGGCTGATCAGTTGACCTTGGGATTACATTTCCCAATCGTACAATCCTTGGCTGTTATTGGTTGACGTATTATTTTAGTACGGTATTTTTGTGGCCCTCCCAAGGACAGTTTATCATGTATAAATAAACTTGATTTGTGTGCTTGTCGACCTCATATTTTCTGAGTGCATGTAGCATACACTTTCTATGTCTTGTCAAGACTCCTTCCCTTACTTAGAGGGGCCTTGGGACTCTCAGATTAGAGTAGCCTATCGTGTCACTGGATCATTTGTCTTCGCTCTCGTTTACCAAGTAATGTGAACTAGTAATAGTTGCAAGCATATTATTTGAGGAGCATAACAGATTTATAGATGCGTCTTGCTGATGAATACTTAAAAGACCAAAAATAAAGATTGAATGATTTCTTATCATACATCATTGCAAATTCTTCACCATAATTATGAATCTGTGATGAATTAATTCAAAGAAAAATATTCACATTATCAAGTTAGTTTATACTTGTATTTCAGATGTTAGAACTATATGATAACCATATATATATGTATATAATATTCAATTACAAATTTTAAGTCATTTTGACTAAAGAAAATTTTGTTCTTATAAATAAACTCCAAGTAATTGGTCTTATTATGTAGGAGAAAAAGAGAGACAAAGATTTTATAAATAAAACATTATTTTTACGACAATTGTCATTGTTTATGAATTTCAATGAAATATAATTGTGTTATTTCAATGAGTATAAAATTTAAAAATCTAATCCTCCTTTACCCATTTTTCCAAAGCCAAACATATCGTTGAAAGTATCCATAGTAGACATGAAACCGCCAGGTTGTACACTTGGATTAAAGTCGTCAGCTTCAGCTGTTTCTTTTGTATATTTATTAGTTTGTTGATTAGAATCTGGTTGTTCATCCTCTTTACTTTGCATTGATTGATAATTTTGTTCATTGTTTTCTCCTATGGAATTGTAATAATTCGGTGGACCTAGCCCACTTCTACGAGTAACAACTTGATTACCATGATTTCCATTAGGCATATAATTTCTGGCATTGTATATATTATAATAATGAGAATCATAATTATTATTATTATTATTGTTTTCATCGTTAGTTTCATAATTTTCATTATGATGATATCTAGGATTAGTGTAATCATGTCTATTACTTTCAGGACTATAATATTGATTGGTTCTATGATTATCGTATCTATTGTAATCATTTTTATTAGGATTACGATTATTATTATGATTATTACTATTGTAATTATGATTATTATAATTATCATTATCATGATTATAGTTGTTATTATTATTACCATTATTATTATTATTGTTATAGTTATGATTATGATTATTATGAATATTATAATTATAATTATCATTATTATTATTACCATTATTATTATTATAGTTATGATTATGATTATTATTATGATTATTATGATGATGATGATTATCATTATTATAATTATAATTATGATTATTATCATTATAATTATTATTATTATTATTATAGTTATGATTATGATTATTGTTATCATAATAATTATTATTGTTATTAAAACTATACTTGACACTGTGACTCCGATGACGTTTATGGTGATCATTGTTGTAATGGTAGTTAGAATAGTCATTGAAATCATTCCGATTATTATTATTATTATTATGGTTGTACTTGTAAGTACGATGACTGTTATGATTGTTTCGATCCCCGTAACGACTGTAATGATTAATTTTTTTGAAATTATTCTTTAAATTATGACGCCTTCGGTTGTTGTTGTTGTTATTATCATTATTATGATTATTATTGTAGTAGTTCTTCTTCTCCTTCCAGTTCCTCTTCTTCTTCTTCTTCTGATGATGATGTTGACGATGACGAGGACGATGTTGATGATTATTTTTATTATATTGCTGTTTATTTCTTATTCTATTGTTATATTTGTAAACAAAATGTTGAGGTTTAATATTTTTAACTCTATAATTATTATTTACATGATAATTTTCATTAGATTCTTGTTTATGCCTATTATAATTATTATTTTTGAAATATGTATTGCTTCGTTTTTCATTATTATCATTGTTAACATCATACTTTTGATCATCATTATAATTCCTAGTATTTTTAATATTATCATATGAATAATAGTCGTTATTATCATTATTATTATTATTATTATTATTATTATTATTATTATTATTGTAATTGTCATCATTGTAGTCATCGTTGTTGTCCTCATTATTATTATTGTTATTATCATTATCATTATAGCCGTTATCATCATATTCACTGTTATAATCATTTGTTACTTTTTTCACATTATAATTCGGAATCTTCTTGTTATCATGATTAGTATATTTAGTTGATTGTTGATTATAAGTTGATTTTGGTATATATTTAATAACTTCATTAACTTCACGACGTTTTTTTATCAATTTCGTATATTTCAATGCATTTTTATTCTGAGATATACTTTCTGAACTTATAGTCACATTAGGTTTTACATTGTTATAATTTTTTGCATTATTATCATAAGTTGATGATGATTTTGCTGATGATGATGATTTCGTTGATGATGAAGTTGATGAAGGTGATGATGATGTTGATGAGGTTGATGATGCCGCTAATAAAACAGCAGATGGCATAGATGAATTTGTTGTTTTTGTATAAGTTTTTACATTTGTATCAACATTTGTCTTTTCTTTAGTATGTGCTAATGTTTCATCTTCTGTTTCTGTACGTTTTTCTATTTTTGGTGAACGTACAACATAATAATAAGTTGATAAGCTTTCATCAGGTTTATTATTTAAATTGTCTGTAAAGATGAATGGAATACATTGTATAAAGATAATTAAAAATTGTAATAATAATAAGAATAATAATCGAATTTTCATGTGTCTTTATACGTGACAAAAATTTGTTTGATTTTATTTATTTAATTTTTTTGTTTTAATGTATAATAATATGTATATTTTGATAAAATAAACAGTAAACAGAGCGAAAAATTTAAAATAGTTAATTAATCTATTTATATATATATATACTGAGTAAATAAATGTGAACTATTGAATATTATTTTATGATGTAATCAGTTATAGTAATGGTATTATAATAATATACTAATAAATTGCACTTTCCTATTTTATTTTCAATTATTTACGCATATTTCTTGATTATATTAATTTATTATTTTTTTTTCTTGTTTGGCTAATTCAATGAAAATTTTATTCTACCATTTGGTAATTTTGTTGAATTATTGATCGATAAAATTAAGCATTAACAAATTGATTTGAATTGATCAACTGTTTGTTCTACGACTATAAGTTGAAATGTAATTAATTTTTCAAATTTTTTTTTTCCAGAAAAAAAAATATATATTTTAGGAAACTTATTGTTGATGAATTACTTTGAAGTGAAACATCATATGAACATTAGAAATTAAGTGTAATTAACACTTATAACAATGTTAACATTATAAACGCATTGTTTTATCGTTTAAATGACAAATATATATATGCAGTTATTAGTTGGGTGTCTTTTGGTTGATTTTGTAAAAGAAACTTGTTAAAATATTCTGTTTTGAGAATTCCATGTTGTATGAATCATATAATATTGAATATGGACATTATTATTATGATTATAACATTTTGAAAATGTGTTACAGTTTAAATGACTGACTTGTTATTAAAATGCGATATTTGGATCATGTTTTATGAGTAATTTCTTTTAAAAATTGGACTGAATTTCTGTGTTTTCATTTGATCTCTAAAATTAGTGAATATTTCATTCAACTATCACCAGTAAATGAAGACTTTTTGTCTGTATTCAAATATAATGAAGTCTTAATCTGCCATGATCGGACATTGAAACTAGAACTTGTTATTGATTGAGTGTCTTTTTCAAGGAATTTTCTATGAATCACTTTTACTGATGACAGAATGAAATCTTTGAAGAACTACTACTATCCCGTATAGTTAGAATTCAGGGTATAAATGAAATTTATATATAGGATTACTAATGGAATTCAAATGATACATTAGTGATAAGTACATTGGTTTAATACAATGTATTGTACATTCTGAAAAACACAATCACATTATTTTTCATATGATATCTATGCTTAAATCAAATAAAAACGAGTATAACTTCATGATTTTAAACAAAAGGTTTCAATTAGCCAATAATTCAATTTTTTGCAAACTTATATTACGAAAACTATTCCTATCATTTGTACCGTATGCTTTTTGTATAAGACTTATTTAAATAAAATAAATAATGATTTCTTTTACAAAAACGGTGCGTTAGTTAAACAACAACTATAAATAATACTGAAGTTATTCATCCTTCATTGCTAACAAGTTAAGTTATAAGCCTTCGAAAATTCAAATATAAATGTATGCTTTATTTATTCATACTAAATATGGAAAACATGGAACCGTATCGCTTACTGTTTATATATATTAACAATTAGTCGGTTAAAAATTTCAGGAAGATAGATATTCAAACTCCTAATCTATTTGTAATGATTTTTAATTATTCATGTACTATCATTAACAAAAAGTCTTCAGTTTTAATCTTTACAAATGGAAGTTTATTTTAAGAACTATCATGGTTTTGAATAAGTTGTCTGATTATATTTGATTGATTAGGTGCATGAGATTTTAATTTCATTTGAAAATTATTTTCCAAACTTTTAACACATGTAAACGAAATTAACAATCTTTGAAAAAATGTACGGCAGCAGTCTGAATCATCACAAGAAGCGTTTGATTTCTCATTTACAGTTATTTTTGTAAGTTTTAGTATGTGGTTTGCGAAGTTAAAGATCATATTATTAGCCATTAAATCTCAGGATTATTTGCTTACTGTTTGGAAAACCTAAAATCGTTCACTTAACTTTCTTTTATAAAGTTGAATGAGATTTTTATGGTTTTCATTTCAACACCATTGACAACCACTTGATGAAAAACATGTCCGTTTGATGTAAATACTTTGAAAAATAAAATTCAGTTCAATTTATAGAAATACATGCTCTCATTAGGGCATGATCCGAATCCGATCATGCTGATAATATGATCTATGTGTTCATTGTTGTGTTAACATTGGAGGTCATCAGGTATGAAATTAACTTCCTTTATAATCAAAGTTTGTACTTTATAGAAGTAATCAGTTGTATGAAACGAATTAAACCAGACAACCATTGTTTTTTATTCTTTTGAGACTGTAAATACCATTTTGTGAATTCGAATAGCCACTATTGCTGGCAGTCGGAGATACTCATAAGAAAATGTCTAATAGTGAGATTGAAAGAAACGTCAAAAAGTGGAGGGATTTAATTGTGAGTAAAAGGATTCTTACTGCTGTTAGAGGTGTGAGGTCGAATGTCTCTTCCCGGTTACCTGTAGTACGAAAGAACACCTCTTCTTTAGGGACCTGTAGAGGAAACTGGATTACTGGAGGTAATAACGACCTAGAAGTGTGACTGTAGAGTTCAACGGATAACTGATTGAGGTTGGTCACATACGGCCTTTGTGTGAAAAGCTTATTTATTAGCCCTATACTTCAAAATGTCTCACCTCTAGAGACGTAGATCAGTGCGATGAGATGAGCAAAGAAATTTTTAGTTAACCATTTTTGACCGATTCTCCAGTTGTGAGAAAATAGCTTCGTTGTGAATGCCGGTTATCTGAGTCAAACGCTGTAATATAGTCACACTTCTGTGCAGTTGTCAGTAATGTGACGTCGATCTCAGACCTTCAGCTGCAGCCCTTAGTCTTATCGTCCTCCAACCTACCTGCTTAACGTAGTAGAACCTAAAAGAACACTTATTCCAGCCAAAATAGTTCTGTTGAGCGGTTATATTAGGTAGGTCCAATCGCCACGTTGAGATAACAGCTTTGGTTTGGTCGACATAACTTTGATTGGCTATCAGCCAAAACTCACTAACAGCTTACGGTTAACAAATTCCACCTTATTTTTCTTGTTTAAGGAGACGCGAATATTGGATTTTCATCTGAAAGTAAAGCTACTGGTTTATTAATAGAGCTATTTGCCTACGTCGCACTGAAAAAGACTGTGTTTAGTCTCGAAATCAACATGAGTGATTTGAGTTTGAAAAGGAGGTCTGAATAACTTAAAGTCAAAATTTATCATCTAAGCACTTTTAAATGTAATTGTTTTGTGAAATCTAACAAAGAACAACATAGCAATGAACACGAAGGACAAAACCTTATTCATAAGATGTTTGAGATATTAAATTGCCAGATCTGAAGAGTGAAAATAAAATCCAGTCCACGACAAAAACTGAATAATAACGAATTAACTACATTAGCAGATTCAGTTGTCTGGATTCTTGAAGTGACATTTTTCGCCTTGAACTACTGACAAATTTATCTCAGGAAGTAAACTGTTTGTTCTATTTATTACTCAACAATTCAGGTGCGATAAGACTAGCAGTTCATTCGTGAGATTGAAAATATTTGTACCGTTTCAATGATGATCAAGAGCAATCACGTAATAGGAAATAAAATTCCAAGTTAAGTTAGCTGACTTTCTGGGATGTCTTTAACTGGACTAGAATATACAGCGAAGTTTTAGACTTCCATATGTGTTAACTGGTGGAGATGGTTTCAAGAAATTAAATGAACTTTAATCCACAAATCAGTTACAGAAATATTTGAAATCAAAGTAACAGTTTGTCAAGTGTGGTAAAGTCACTTGAAAATGTTTAGTGTATGGACTTAAATAATTATACAATGTTTAGTTTGTTCATAATCAGCGATAATTAGCACTTTTACTTACAAACTAATTGTTTACTTCTGTTCAGATTTACCCTTGGATACTCACATCAGGAATTCGGACGCTGGAGTTCTACACTCATGTATCCAGTGGCTCTCGTTGATAAAGATTGCTGTCAAAACATGATACAGATATTATGTTTTTAGAAAATTAAATCTTGGAACTCTAACAGATCTTTAGAGACATTCTTACAGAATATTAATAACACAAATTCTCTCCCTAGCAACAATATTCCAGGTATCTGGATAAAATTAATATATTTCTAAGCGTAAAGTGATATGATTTGGGAGAAAACTAATGAAAGATAGTTTTTATCCTGTGCATAGCATTTTTTCTATTTCAAACATACTAGACTAAATTTACGGAAAGTGGTACCTATATGAATTAATAATATCGAGACTCCATCTGCACATGTTATAATTATCAGTTAAGTAACTGTTATGTGAAATCACATTCACTTGTTGTTCAATAAATCATTTCTTGAAAACCGAGTTCGAGACTTGATATTTCTATAGACCATTCTTTAGTTTGTAGTGATTACACTTTTATGATGAGAACGCTGTCGGTTTAATAGAAACATTCATTATTATAACCAATTGTACCAGTGATTGTTTTACTGTGCTCTTTGTTTATTCGTACTCTGTAAGCGCAAACTTTCCGTTTGTGTTGCTGCCATTTTGGTTATACTGCTCGTTATAATGCAAATAAAAAACTGGGGTTTACTTAATTCAATGCACAATATAGCCCAATATCTTATTCAACTACTTACTCAGTAGTCACCCAAAAAGTCAAATAACAATCATGAGACTCCTGAACTAAGACCACTAGACCGTGAAACAATTAAAAATATCATGATAGCTGCTGTATTTGCAAGCAAAACAACTCGTGACACAAAATCATCTTACAGTGTAAATGCTGCTGTATTTTATGACCCCTTAGCGAATTAGAAAACCATATAAACTCAAGAGATTCTAAAGCTTTGGTTTAAATGAGCGATTCCAGCAAACATTAAGGTGACTTTTGTTACACAGAGGATTTAAGTTGCTTGTGAACTGATTGCTAAGCAGTAGTAAATAATTATGACAGAAACCATGTATTTAAATCCAATTCGAAACTATTGATTACACAATTAAGAAAAGATGGGTCTTTACCGTCTTATTAATAATTATTACAGTAAAAAGAACCCGTTTTAGTGCTTTTTGTAATCGATACTGTCAAAAAAACACAGAAGCATAATTGTTACTTTTAAAATGAATATTTCTAAAACTACAGCCTATCTGCGTCATGCTCTAGGTTAGATATGAATCGTTGAAGTGGTTGTATTCACCGACGTTTTTAAGGTCAATGAGCATCAACTGAAAGTAGTTTTTATGAACATGGGATTATTCTGTTTTATTATTTCACTGAGAGACATACGAAGTAAGTTATTGGTTGCACTACAATAAGTCAAAATGGTTCTTCAGATTCTCGGAGATAAAATAAACTGTTTTGATTAAAGTTGTTTAATTATCCAAATTGAACTTGGGACTAGCAACCAATTAGCAAAAACATGTAAGTACATTGAAATTTTTATTAATATGTGTATATCAGAGCTTTTGATAATGTTTGGTCTACAACTGAAGTTGACTCCGCCTAGATAAAAAAAATTCTTTGGCGAGTTTCGTAATCAACGACTAGCGAGTTGGGCAGACTCTTGGTCTCTCATGAGTCTGCTAAATGAACGGTTAACACCAGTTGGATTAACTGGGATGAAATACCAGCCACGAAAGTCGCCCTCTTCCAGCTGAGATTTACGAAACCATCTTTCCTCATCACTAAGAAAAAGGAGTAAATGAAAATGGCAAATACGAAGAAATTGTATTTTAGCTTTACCAAGTTAAACTAAAGACATTACTATTTTGACTAGTTTTAAGTGAAAAAATTTTCTGCCGAGTGGACAGAAATAAGTAATATAGTACAAATCTGAACTGATCCAACTCGCTACTTCCCATTAGTAGAGTCAGAGGAAGTAAAGAAAAGAAAAGTGATGAATAAAAAATGATAGCAGCAATTATTTAGGAAAGCTTAACAAAAATGTGGTTAAATAATAAAACAGCATGCACTCTTAAGTTATACACCTGATGCTGTACACTCAAAATAACGTCGTGCTGACTCGGATCGGGCTAAATCGCAACATTTCACTTCATATATAGTGATTACACATACAACAGCACTGTCATTGCTTCTGAAATTACTCGGATGCACGAACTTCTGAATTATATATAATGGCTAAAAACAAGTGGTAAGTGTATAGACAAACTCCAGCAAGTCTTGCAGAATTTCGCATTGTGTTGAGATAAATGTTAGGATATTCATCAAATATCCTAAGAGAATTATTTTTGTAAGTCTAATTCTATTGGTTAATTCCTACTGGTCAATATTATGGTCGTCCTAGCTATCAATGTCACAGACTCCAATGTTGTTTCCTATTCGACCTAACTGTAACGTTTTATGACCCGGACCCGGATCCTCAGTCCGAGATCCTTATTCTCTTCTGGACTCGGACCGCGTACTTTCTGAATGCTTGTAGAATACACGTTCTACTTCATATCAAGTCTTCTTCTTTTACTCAGCTGGGGTTTGGGACGCTAGGATTATAATAGCCTGTTGTATCGCCAGATCCTCGATCCTCGCTCTCGTTTACTGACCAAGATAAACTCGCAATAGTTCAAGCATATCAAGTGACGTGTTTACGTCCATGCGTAACAATAAAATACAGACAATAGTTACGGACGTTGATTGTCGTCTGGATAGTTTGAGAGCTATAATACAATGAAACAATATGCATCATGTCGAGGTCAGGAAGTATTTCACCAGCTAACAGGTCGAAATATCCATGTAGCCTTTAAGAGTTGTTTACAAAATATCATAGATAGTGGAGTCGGATATAAATGACAGATATAAACAAACATACTTAACCTTACGGTTGGGTCGAAACGACAGCGAGAATTAGTTGCAGTACCTCACCACCGGACGTATTTCCGAGGAGCTTCTAACACGTCACAAATTTCCATGACATAAGTCGCTTCAAAATATAACTTCAGCCTATACCCTTATCAAATGAATTGAAGGTAGCTTTGATATCACTGGTATACTAAAAGTAAGACATTTAAGTACAAGTCCCCCAAATGCCCTGGTACGACCGATAGTGGAGTCTGCTTTCTCTCTCTCGAAACGCTCTCACATGTCCACGCGAATATAGCCACTGTCAGTGGAGTCCTATTCACTGCCTTCTCGCGGTGGTGCTGTTCATGAACTTGGGAGGACTAAAAGTGAATATCCGGAGCTTTAACCGGGTTGATGGATACGGAGTAAAGATGATCCGGATCAGCGAAGAACATTATAATACGGTATAAAAGCCGAGGTTCTTCGGAATTCATGAGGCCTACGCCCCTTCTGATAACCAGAACCCTTCCACGGTGTTTGAAGCCGGGAAGTTACATCCACCCTCATATCCATAACAACACACGAGACCGAATCGGTCACAATAAAATCCTTTCCACACCTCCTAATAACTGTCTTATCTCTTCGACCAACCCTTCCTTCAATCGATTGTCACCTCGCGCCACTGAGGGAAACGGTTTGAGCTCAGTCGCTTATGCGCTGTCCGACTAAACGGGACAGTACGGACTCGTAAAGATAAGGAAACTCGCCGTCGCCTCTTCGTTGTACTTACCATTGACTGCAGTTCAGAGAACGTAAGAGATAAGTTTTAAAGAAACCTCTCTAGGCCTCGTAAAAAAATTGGGCGCTCAGATATAGTAATAATGGCTGGTGGCTTTAACGCTCAAACAGAATGAAGGACTTCGTGGACGCCCAACTTCGAGATCAACAGGCTCGATTTCGTAAGGATCGATCGTGTACTGACCAAATAGTAACATTACGGATCATTGTGAAACAATCAATTGAATGGAACTCACCACTACATATCAACTTCATCGACTACGAGAAAGCATTCGATAGCGTGGACAGGAAAACACTATGGAAGCTTCTTCGACACTACGGCGTTCCTGAGATAGTCAAAATCATACGGAATTCTTAGGATGGATTCAACTGCAAAATCGTGCACGGAGGACAGCTAACAGACACTTTCGAGATGAAGACCGGTGTCAGGCAAGATTGCTTACTCTTAGCCTTTCTCTTTCTCCTGGTGATCGACTGGGTTATGAAGACGTCGACATCTGGAGGGAGGCACGGTATCAACTGGATAGTTAGGACGCAGCTGGACGATCTGGACTTTGCAGATGACCTGGCTCTTCTATCGCACACGCAACAACAAATGCAAGAGAAGACTACTAGTGTAGCAGTAGCCTCAGCAGCAGTAGGTCTCAACATACATAAAGGGGAAAAGCAAGATTCTACGATGGTCATCCGCTACCATGGGATTGCATCTCCTTACGTTGTCCAACGTCCTTATATATTAGAATTTTGGGCTAAAGACTCAAGGTGTACCCCCCTAAGAAAACCATCTGCTTCAGTTTGGGCGTTCGGTCAGTATCCAAGCCAACTTACAAATCAAGCAATTTGTGTCATATAAATTTTTGGTTGATCCTCTGTACCAAAGCTTATGCGCTTAAGTACAAACAAAATAAATTTAGTGCCTGGCAGAGGGTAGATCAGTCATTCTAAAGCCAGAATAGTAACTGACTTGCTAATTAGAGTCCTTTGCAAACAAATGCTACAGTTATTAGGTAGGTAATCATTGGTCGAAGAGCATAAGATGGTCTGATTAATGTTGGTGAGGCAATGAGCGAATCGAAGTCTCTCAAAGTGTCCTGTTGAGTGCGCAAGATATTCGCTGATCATTTCGTCGAGTTGATATAGCAATTAATGACTTAGTGGAAATCTAGTAATTTTGTAGGTATCCTTATTATAGATAACGGCAAGGGCAATAAGCACTTAACTACTGACATTATTCATGACGATTTTATTGGAATTACCTGAGAGTAGCTCTAACAGTAAATGTCTGCTATATTTAGCTTCTGATTCTACATTTTCTCTTAAATATTCTAGTAACCCGACTATGAAGCTTTCTCTTACTAACAACAGTACGAAATCAAACTAAGCAACTTGTATTTTTCGATTCGAAAGCCAAAGTCACTTCACAGACAATTGCAGCGCTTTTACGAAGGTTTTTTAAGAGCTGTCAATCCTTTTGCGTGAAACGTTGTCTATGCTAGTTCATTCGATTGCAGAAATATTTCCAAAAGGCAGTGGTTGAAACATTCAAGTTTACTTGAGTTAACTTGTAATAATCAGTTGTTTGACTCCAATGATCTCTAATCTGAATGGCGACCTTATTGCTAGGTTTTGGAAAAAGCGTCTGGATTTTAATAGACGGGTCCAAACCGATGATCATATAAGATTTGATTCACAACTAGCTTTTCTCATCAAGTAGTTAATGATCGGAAGTGCACGGAAAAAGTGTCAGTACAACTGGTAGAAGCCTTTACGTATTAACTAGACTGTCTTCATCAACCGACCTAACGTCCATTGTGCTATGGACTGAAGTTGATGCGGGAAGTTTGGTTTTCAAGGTTGTTGTTCAGTAATGTATCCAGTTTTCCGAAGTGCATCTTTGCTACACGTAAAGCATATTGGACCTTATTACGTTTGCTTGCAAACGCATACTCTGACAAAGCAGTATGGTTTTAGTACCGTTTTCCCCCGGAGAATTATACCCTCACCTCTAGGTTAGTGTTCCAAATTTTTATTTATACATTTTAGTTTCCACAATAATCTCTAGGAACGCGGGTCATGGTAGAAGATTGCCTAAAATGGTTTCGGAATATCTGCCCCGTGTCCTCTTCGATAGTTTGGTAGGCAAATCGGATCATTGTTAAATGTATATAGCACTTCTATATCATGTTGGGTCTCGTTCCGACATTGTTTCTTATTTTTATTGTCAATGTGTTTATTGGGCCAGCAGAGTTAACCGACATACCGGAAGACTATGAACCACGTTACTGGGAATATTACAAAGTAGGTCCACTAGTCGTCTATTCATTTTCAGCATCCTATTACTCGTTTCATTGTTAAGTACATGTGCCAACACCCTCAGAAGGTGTACGAATCTTCCTTGGCAGAAATGGATGAGTTTCGAATACGCCGGGAACTGGTGTAAGTTGTTTTTATCTTTGTTCCTGTAGCTATCAGGGTGTAATTAGGCACTATTTTGAAACAATCAGGCACTGTAGTATTATTATTCCTTAGATATAAATGTTATTATCCCAACAGAAATCAAATCACACTTTCACTCTAAATAATGCAGTTTGCCAAGGCTAATCACCAGGGCAGTGTGTAACACTGTTCTTCAACAGTATTAGTGAAGGCTGTAATATTGTTAGCGATAAGAAATGTCTGAACTTGTCGGGTTAACTTCAGGAGTTTTTTAAGATGGTTTTAATAAGCTACTAAAGCTTTTCTATCCTTTCTCCTCTTTTCCTAACTAGTGATATATTCTACCACGTCACTAGAAAAACTATGGATATGTCTTTCGTGTGAGATCTCATAAAGCTTACGTAACTGATATGAAGTCTGGTAATCAAGTAGTGCTAATGAGTTGGGAGCAAAAACTGCATCTAATAAAATGTGCGTTGTTCCTACTTATATGGATCACTAATGATAAGAAACCAAGTATTGATGGATCCATTCTCGAGGCTGATGTCACGACGGTATCTGTCATGACTCTCACTTGTATCTGCGGATATGGTTAACTGGCTTATGCTTGGTACTGGAAATGCCAATGAGATGACTCACAGAAAAGACACAAAGACTTATAATGTGGATTTATTAGACCCCAGAAATAAATCAAAATGGCATTTGAATACACAGCTTTTTAAATTATTTATTTTCAGTGAGGTTTGTATAAATCGGACTGAATAATGATTAACGTCAATTAACAAATAACCTACAATCTGAACACACTTAAAATATCATGCCGTTAAGCGTATGTAACCAATAGATGTGTCTATTAGACTAAATTATAGAATTATCTGACTAACTGTCACAAGTAATTCGGAAAAATCAGTTCCCTATATCATTCACACTGCAATCCATTCAGTCATTACTTGTTATATAACGTCCCCGACAAAATGGTAGGAGTGTCTTTGGTCCTCAACGGGGCACTTTATTATCCACTCCTTGCAGGGAGGAGTGAGCTGTCAATCGATCAACAACAACGAACATACATCAGTTCAACTTGCCATACCACATTAGCATAGAGATGCAATTGTCCATTCAAATCCCATAATAGTAGATGTGGTAAGGGTATTACCAGTAATCAGAGAGATTAGGCTTTAAAGTTATTATTCAAGAAGTAGAATCTAGTGAAATGAACTTAGAAAGATAAAGATAAAGTGATGAGACGGACAGACAGATACAACGCAGACCTTCGTACATGAGTACATTAGTTCACGTTGCCATACCACATCAGCACAGAGACGCAACTGTCAGTTCAAATCCAAGAGTGATAGCGATAGTAGAAGTATTTGCAGTAATGGGGAAGATTAGAGAGCGAAGATTTGATTGGAGAAGTATAATTCAGTAAGATAAATTTTGAAGGAGAAAGGTAGAGATTATGAGGAATGAAGAAGCTTAGAATTTCATAGAACACAAAGAGTGGATGCACCTGTGCCATTACGAACGATTCTGAGCCATGTCGCACCGGTGACTATCGTCTCGCGGACCCCAACCAGGTAGCTTACATCTACCAACATGACTCAGTCCACTTGTCAGTGACTTCATGGATTTCTGCCATGTTTCGGTTTCGCCGCCCCTAGCTTTCTTCCAATCTACTCCTACACCACAAAACATAGCTCGTCGAGGCAGTCGGTGGTCGGGCATATGTAACACATGTCCCAACTACCTCAACTGATGAAGTTTCATTACTTCATCTATTGATTTGCCGTTCCTACCTAGAACTCGTTTCCTAAGGACAGCATTGCTTATACCGTTGTCCCACGATACACGAGCAATGCTTCAAAAACATCGATGATTGAAGACCAGTAACCTGCGAACATCTTCTACTCTTAACGGCCAAGTCTCGCATCCGTATAGTAGGACGGAGCGAACTGCTGCAAAGTACACTCGTGCTTTGGTTAGCAAACGGATAGCTTACCTGCACCATAAGTGACGCAGGTTGGCAAAAGCCAATCGAGCCTTCTGTATCCGTCCCGAGATTTCGTCAGTCACCAGGACATCAGCATCGATGAGACGCCCCAGATAAGTGGAGCGGTCTACACGCTTGACTACTTCGCTCCCTATCACTAGTTCAGGTGCCAATGCAAGCCAATTTTGAAGCAACATTTTGCGTTTCGAGGGTGAGAACCGCAGCCCGAACATGCTTGCATTGTTGCTTAGGGTAGTCAGAAGACTGCATTTTGTCAGCGTCTTCGCCGAATAGAACTAAGTCATCGGCATATTCTACGTCAGTAAGCGATTTTCCTGGTCGAAGGTCGACTCCTGAAAAGTCGAACGAAGATAATGTTACATCTAGCAGCATGTCGATGACAACATTAAACAAAAATGGAGAGAGTGGACAGCCCTGACGGACACCACTTGAAGTAAAGAATTCCGGTGACAGTTCGCCATAAGCTCTCACTTGACCAGTGGTGTTCGAGTAGAGAGCTTGTATAAGGTTAATGTTCTTCTTTGGTACACCTTTCAATGACAGACACTGCCATAGAACCTCACGATCCACAGAGTCTAATGCCGCCTTAAGGTCTAGGAAGACAACTATTGTCGGACGCCTAACTGTGTGTCTGTGTTCCAGGAGCTGTCGTAGTGTGAAGATGTGGTCTATGCAGCCATGTCTGAAACCAGCCTGGTTTTCTCTAGTCTGCTCTTCACGAGTACTAGTAAGGCGTCTAAGAATAATAGAGGCTAACAATTTTGAAACTATATTAGTTAGACTTATTCCCCTATGATTGTCACAAGAAGACTTTTTTCCTTTCTTATAAATTGGGAAAGTCAGTGATTGAGACCAGTCTGATGAGATCACGTCCAGTTCACAGGTTCTACCTAAGATCTCAGTCGATCTACCGGGTCCTGCAGCTCTCCCTCGCTTCAGATTTCCTATAGCATTTACAACTTCATGAAGGTTTGGAGGGCTTACGTCCACTTGCCATTCAGGATTACTGGAGATCGTGAGCAACCGAAGTGTGGCAGAAGGCTAGTTGAACTGGTCCATAAAGTGTTCTGCCCATCGATCCAGTCTCCTAGATCGAGAACAAATAATAGTCCCAACCTTTTCCGAGATAGTCGCACTTACACTAAGATTCCTAATTCCAGTTCCCTTGATAAGTCGGAAAAGTTGTCTCCTGTTGCCTGACGCCGTTGCCTTTTCCATCTCTCTCGCTTTCTCCGCCCATCACTGTTCACGGTCGTTGCGTAGGCTTTTTATCAGCCTGCGCTTAAGCTTACTTCGTTTTTCGTCATGTTCAGAGACAGGTGGGATGAGTTTTCGGGCATCCATCAGATCGGTGGATGCTACGGAGATCCACGGCTTCTACCTAGACCTATGGTTTACCTTACTATCAGATATCACTGCTGTTTCCACAGCTTTATTGATATCATTCCAAGCTGCCTCAGGGTGGGAATCGCCTAAATGGTCGCCTAACTGTCTTTCTAGTTGTTCCTGAAATATATTCTTAGCTTTGTCATCGTTAAGTGAGCCCCTAAGAGGTTTCCTTGCGATATTTTTCTTGCGTCCAGTAAGGCGTAAACAAATACGCGCTCTCTCTAGAGCATGGTGCGAGTCTAAACAAGTGCCCCAGAATGAACGGCAGTCTTCGATAGAACCTTTCCACCGATGGCCCATAGCGATGTGATCTAGTTGGGTCCATCATTGGGTCGGCTTTGCGGGTCGCCAGACCAAAAGATGTTTCTCCTTATGCTAAAAGTTAGTGTTTGCTAGGAATAGGTGGTTATGTGAGCATATCCGTAGCAGCCAGTCACCATTATCTGTTCTATTGGCTGCGACACCATAAGATCCACCCAGGTGTCTTTCCTTTTCACTGAGTCTACCTACTTGAGCTTTAAAGTCTTACTTATGACTGTTACCCCCAATAGAGCATAGGCTGCCCACCAGTTTTCTCCAACTAACTCTATCCTGGGCTTCCTTTTCCAGTTCTTTCCAATTTCCGTTCATTCTTCTCTTGTCTTTCTCTATTTCTCGGTCATGTGTTCCTTGACCTTCCTCTTTTCCCTTGACCTTGAAAGTTCCATGCGAGAGCTTGTCTCGTGACACAGTTAGCTGCTTTCCGTGGTGTGTGTCCTATCCACTTCCACCGCTTCTTCCTAATTTCCTCCTCCAATGGAATCTGGTTTGTTCTCTCCCACAGTAAGTTGTTGGTGATCGTGTCTGGCCAACGAATCCGAAGTATTTTGCGTAGACAACTGTTAATAAAATTCTGGATGATGGCTTTGGTAGTTCTTCAAGTTTCCGCTCCATACAGTAGAACTGTCTTGACATTTGTATTGAAAATTCTGATTTTGGTTTTGGTTGAAAGTTGTTTGGAGTTTCAGATGTTTTTCAATTGTAGGAATTCAACGCTTGCTTTGCCGATTCGCGCCCTCACATCTGCATGGGATCCACCTTGGTTGTCGATTATGCTGCAAAGATATGTAAAGGTGTTAACGTCCTCCAAGCAACTTCATCAAGAGTGATTTGGTTGGCGCATGTTGTGTTGTATCGTAGAATCTAACTTTTCCCCTTTATGTATGTTGAGACCTACTGCTGCTGAGGCTACTGCTACACTAGTAGTCTTCTCTTGCATTTGTTGTTGCGTGTGCGATAGAAGAGCCAGGTCATCTGCAAAGTCCAGATCGTCCAGCTGCGTCCTAACTATCCAGTTGATACCGTGCCTCCCTCCAGATGTCGACGTCTTCATAACCCAGTCGATCACCAGGAGAAAGAGAAAGGCTAAGAGTAAGCAATCTTGCCTGACACCGGTCTTCATCTCGAAAGTGTCTGTTAGCTGTCCTCCGTGCACGATTTTGCAGTTGAATCCATCCTAAGAATTCCGTATGATTTTGACTATCTCAGGAACGCCGTAGTGTCGAAGAAGCTTCCATAGTGTTTTCCTGTCCATGCTATCGAATGCTTTCTCGTAGTCGATGAAGTTGATATGTAGTGGTGAGTTCCATTCAATTGATTGTTTCACAATGATCCGTAATGTTACTATTTGGTCAGTACACGATCGATCCTTACGAAATCGAGCCTGTTGATCTCGAAGTTGGGCGTCTACGAAGTCCTTCATTCTGTTTGAGCGTTAAAGCCACCAGCCATTATTACTATATCTGAGCGCCCAATTTTTTTACGAGGCCTAGAGAGGTTTCTTTAAAACTTATCTCTTACGTTCTCTGAACTGCAGTCAATGGTAAGTACAACGAAGAGGCAACGGCGAGTTTCCTTATCTTTACGAGTCCGTACTGTCCCGTTTAGTCGGACAGCGCATAAGCGACTGAGCTCAAACCGTTTCCTTCAGTGGCGCGAGGTGACAATCGATTGAAGGAAGGGTTGGTCGAAGAGATAAGACAGTTATTAGGAGGTGTGGAAAGGATTTTATTGTGACCGATTCGGTCTCGTGTGTTGTTATGGATATGAGGGTGGATGTAACTTCCCGGCTTCAAACACCGTGGAAGGGTTCTGGTTATCAGAAGGGGCGTAGGCCTCATGAATTCCGAAGAACCTCGGCTTTTATACCGTATTATAATGTTCTTCGCTGATCCGGATCATCTTTACTCCGTATCCACCAACCCGGTTAAAGCTCCGGATATTCACATTTAGTCCTCCCAAGTTCATGAACAGCACCACCGCGAGAAGGCAGTGAATAGGACTCCACTGACAGTGGCTATATTCGCGTGGACATGTGAGGGCGTTTCGAGAGAGAGAAAGCAGACTCCACTATCGGTCGTACCAGGGCATTTGGGGGACTTGTACTTAAATGTCTTACTTTTAGTATACCAGTGATATCAAAGCTACCTTCAATTCATTTGATAAGGGTATAGGCTGAAGTTATATTTTGAAGCGACTTATGTCATGGAAATTTGTGACGTGTTAGAAGCTCCTCGGAAATACGTCCGGTGGTGAGGTACTGCAACTAATTCTCGCTGTCGTTTCGACCCAACCGTAAGGTTAAGTATGTTTGTTTATATCTGTCATTTATATCCGACTCCACTATCTATGATATTTTGTAAACAACTCTTAAAGGCTACATGGATATTTCGACCTGTTAGCTGGTGAAATACTTCCTGACCTCGACATGATGCATATTGTTTCATTGTATTATAGCTCTCAAACTATCCAGACGACAATCAACGTCCGTAACTATGGTCTGTATTTTATTGTTACGCATGGACGTAAACACGTCACTTGATATGCTTGAACTATTGCGAGTTTATCTTGGTCAGTAAACGAGAGCGAGGATCAAGGATCTGGCGATACAACAGGCTATTATAATCCTAGCGTTCCAAACCCCCGCTGAGTAAAAGAAGAAGACTTGATATGAAGTAGAACGTGTATTCTACAAGCATTCAGAAAGTACGCGGTCCGAGTCCAGAAGAGAATAAGGATCTCGGACTGAGGATCCGGGTCCGGGTCATAAAACGTTACAGTTAGGTCGAATAGGAAACAACATTGGAGTCTGTGACATTGATAGCTAGGACGACCATAATATTGACCAGTAGGAATTGACCAATAGAATTAGACTTACAAAAATAATTCTCTTAGGATATTTGATGAATATCCTAACATTTATCTCAACACAATGCGAAATTCTGCAAGACTTGCTGGAGTTTGTCTATACACTTACCACTTGTTTTTAGCCATTATATATAATTCAGAAGTTCGTGCATCCGAGTAATTTCAGAAGCAATGACAGTGCTGTTGTATGTGTAATCACTATATATGAAGTGAAATGTTGCGATTTAGCCCGATCCGAGTCAGCACGACGTTATTTTGAGTGTATAGCATCAGGTGTATAACTTAAGAGTGCATGCTGTTTTATTATTGAACCACATTTTTGTTAAGCTTTCCTAAATAATTGCTGCTATCATTTTTTATTCATCACTTTTCTTTTCTTTACTTCCTCTGACTCTACTAATGGGAAGTAGCGAGTTGGATCAGTTCAGATTTGTACTATATTACTTATTTCTGTCCACTCGGCAGAAAATTTTTTCACTTAAAACTAGTCAAAATAGTAATGTCTTTAGTTTAACTTGGTAAAGCTAAAATACAATTTCTTCGTATTTGCCATTTTCATTTACTCCTTTTTCTTAGTGATGAGGAAAGATGGTTTCGTAAATCTCAGCTGGAAGAGGGCGACTTTCGTGGCTGGTATTTCATCCCAGTTAATCCAACTGGTGTTAACCGTTCATTTAGCAGACTCATGAGAGACCAAGAGTCTGCCCAACTCGCTAGTCGTTGATTACGAAACTCGCCAAAGAATTTTTTTTATCTAGGCGGAGTCAACTTCAGTTGTAGACCAAACATTATCAAAAGCTCTGATATACACATATTAATAAAAATTTCAATGTACTTACATGTTTTTGCTAATTGGTTGCTAGTCCCAAGTTCAATTTGGATAATTAAACAACTTTAATCAAAACAGTTTATTTTATCTCCGAGAATCTGAAGAACCATTTTGACTTATTGTAGTGCAACCAATAACTTACTTCGTATGTCTCTCAGTGAAATAATAAAACAGAATAATCCCATGTTCATAAAAACTACTTTCAGTTGATGCTCATTGACCTTAAAAACGTCGGTGAATACAACCACTTCAACGATTCATATCTAACCTAGAGCATGACACAGATAGGCTGTAGTTTTAGAAATATTCATTTTAAAAGTAACAATTATGCTTCTGTGTTTTTTTGACAGTATCGATTACAAAAAGCACTAAAACGGGTTCTTTTTACTGTAATAATTATTACTAAGACGGTAAAGACCCATCTTTTCTTAATTGTGTAATCAATAGTTTCGAATTGGATTTAAATACATGGTTTCTGTCATAATTATTTACTACTGCTTAGCAATCAGTTCACAAGCAACTTAAATCCTCTGTGTAACAAAAGTCACCTTAATGTTTGCTGGAATCGCTCATTTAAACCAAAGCTTTAGAATCTCTTGAATTTATATGGTTTTCTAATTCGCTAAGGGTCATCAAATACAGCAGCATTTACACTGTAAGATGATTTTGTGTCACGAGTTGTTTTGCTTGCAAATACAGCAGCTATCATGATATTTTTAATTGTTTCACGGTCTAGTGGTCTTAGTTCAGGAGTCTCATGATTGTTATTTGACTTTTTGGGTGACTACTGAGTAAGTAGTTGAATAAGATATTGGGCTATATTGTGCATTGAATTAAGTAAACCCCAGTTTTTTATTTGCATTATAACGAGCAGTATAACCAAAATGGCAGCAACACAAACGGAAAGTTTGCGCTTACAGAGTACGAATAAACAAAGAGCACAGTAAAACAATCACTGGTACAATTGGTTATAATAATGAATGTTTCTATTAAACCGACAGCGTTCTCATCATAAAAGTGTAATCACTACAAACTAAAGAATGGTCTATAGAAATATCAAGTCTCGAACTCTGTTTTCAAGAAATGATTTATTGAACAACAAGTGAATGTGATTTCACATAACAGTTACTTAACTGATAATTATAACATGTGCAGATGGAGTCTCGATATTATTAATTCATATAGGTACCACTTTCCGTAAATTTAGTCTAGTATGTTTGAAATAGAAAAAATGCTATGCACAGGATAAAAACTATCTTTCATTAGTTTTCTCCCAAATCATATCACTTTACGCTCAGAAATATATTAATTTTATCCAGATACCTGGAATATTGTTGCTAGGGAGAGAATTTGTGTTATGAATATTCTGTAAGAATGTCTCTAAAGATCTGTTAAAGAGTTCCAAGATTTAATTTTTTAAAACATAATATCTGTATCATGTTTTGACAGCAATCTTTATCAACGAGAGCCACTGGATACATGAGTGTAGAACTCCAGCGTCCGAATTCCTGATGTGAGTATCCAAGGGTAAATCTGAACAGAAGTAAACAATTAGTTTGTAAGTAAAAGTGCTAATTATCGCTGATTATGAACAAACTAAACATTGTATAATTATTTAAGTCCATTCACTAAACATTTTCAAGTGACTTTACCACACTTGACAAACTGTTACTTTGATTTCAAATATTTCTGTAACTGATTTGTGGATTAAAGTTCATTTAATTTCTTGAAACCATCTCCACCAGTTAACACATATGGAAGTCTAAAACTTCGCTGTATATTCTAGTCCAGTTAAAGACATCCCAGAAAGTCAGCTAACTTAACTTGGAATTTTATTTCCTATTACGTGATTGCTCTTGATCATCATTGAAACGGTACAAATATTTTCAATCTCACGAATGAACTGCTAGTCTTATCGCACCTGAATTGTTGAGTAATAAATAGAACAAACAGTTTACTTCCTGAGATAAATTTGTCAGTAATTTAAGGCGAAAAATGTCACTTCAAGAATCCAGACAACTGAATCTGCTAATGTAGTTAATTCGTTATTATTCAGTTTTTGTTGTGGACTGGATTTTATTTTCACTCTTCAGATCTGGCAATTTAATATCTCAAACATCTTATGAATAAGGTTTTGTCCTTCGTGTTCATTGCTATGTTGTTCTTTGTTAGATTTCACAAAACAATTACATTTAAAAGTGCTTAGATGATAAATTATGACTTTGAGTTATTCAGACCTCCTTTACAAACTCGAATCACTCATGTTGATTTCGAGACTAAACACAGTCTTTTTCAGTGCGACGTAGGCATATAGCTCTATTAATAAACCAGTGGCTTTACTTTCAGATGAAAATCCAATATTCGCGTCTCCTTAAACAAGAAAAATAAGGTGGAATTTGTTAACCGTAAGCTGTTGGTGAGTTTCGGCTGATAGCCAATCAAATTTATGTCGACCAAACCAAAGCTGTTATCTCAACGTGGCGATTGGACCTACCTAATATAACCGCTCAACAGAACTATTTTGGCTGGAATAAGTGTTATTTTAGGTTCTACTACGTCAAGCAGGTAGGTTTGGGGACGATAAGACTAAGGGCTGCAGCTGAAGGTCTGAGATCGACGTCACATTACTGACAACTGCACAGAAGTGTGACTATACTACAGCGTTTGACTCAGATAACCGGCATTCACAACGAAGCTATTTTCTCACAACTGGAGAATCGGTCAAAAATGGTTAACTAAAATTTTCTTTGCTCATCTCATCGCACTGAAATACGTCTCTAGAGGTGAGACATTTTGAAGTATAGGGCTAATAAATAAGCTTTTCACACAAAGGCCGTATGTGACCAACCTCAATCAGTTATCCGTTGAACTCTACAGTCACACTTCTAGGTCGTTATTACCTCCAGTAATCCAGTTTCCTCTACAGGTCCCTAAAGAAGAGGTGTTCTTTCGTACTACAGGTAACCGGTTAGAGACATTCGACCTCACACCTCTAACAGCAGTAAGAATCCTTTTACTCACAATTAAATCCCTCCACTTTTTGACGTTTCTTTCAATCTAACTATTAGACATTTTCTTATGAGTATCTCCGACTGCCAGCAATAGTGGCTATTCGAATTCAC